AATAAAATGAAACATTTCCCATAGACTTACATTGGCTCCAAATCGCATGGATCCAGAATTTCGGAAGTGCCCTCGCCACAACTGCACGTGCGCTGCGCTCGAAAATGATCACGTGACCAAATCCAGATGAGATCACCGTATTTATAGTCACCGTGGTTATTTGTATGGTAGTTTGTTTTGTGGCCTGAAGTTGGAACTTAAAATTGAAGCATCCGAAAATGATCGATATTGATCGAAAACATGATGTTGATGAAAAAAATAATATTTTAAGTTGAGAGAGGAGGCCATTTATCCAGATGCAGTAGTTTACTTCTTGAAATTATTTTTGCTAATGACGGCTGCTAATTATCCCTCATTACATGGCAGTCGTCGTAAGCAAAAATAATTTCAAGAAGTAAACCACCGCATCTGGATAAAATGGCCTCCTCTCTCAACTTAACATATTATTTTTTCATCAACATCATGATTTCGGTCAATATCGATCATTTTCGGATGCTTCAATTTAAAGTTCCAACTTCGGGCCACAAAAAAGGGTATACTTCAACGTTGGACTACCATACAAACAACGGCCATATTAAAGCTGGTTTCTTCTTCTTGCACCAGGTGGCAGCACTTCTTTTCCAAAATCAGTGCTTGTATTTCCAAAATCGTGATTTCCTCGCTGAGGAGTGAAATCGGCTTCATCGTTGCTAAAAATAGCTGATAGCGTTGTCATTTTTAGCACATGGTTGCCAAAAATGGCATGTGCTAAAAATGACAACCATTGACCAAACCTCCCCCAACTGATGTAATTTTTCGCCTTATCCTATGAGCACGGTGCTATTCGGCGCAACCCTTCACTTTGTGACGTATTTTGATGTATAAGTCATCATTTTTAAAGCGATTTAATGTTGGATTCGGATACACTGGACAATTCTGCGTAGAAAGGTTATAAAGAAATTGGAAATCAAAATACTCTTATTTGTCACTTATGTCGTGCTAGGATCGCAAAAGTCCCCACGGTGCGGTGATGGGCCGCTGCACACTGGGCCGATCGCCAGGTCTAGCACGACATGGGTAAAAAAATCGAACTTTGTGGATGTGCAATGAAACCTATACCAATTTGTTCAAAAATGATCATACTACATTGCTGTGGTCTTTGTTTTCCAACACAATTGCTATTTCATGGCGAAAACTCAGCTTAAACACGAACTTCGGAATCGTTTGGACCGAACTCGTCCCCCGCACTCTTCGACAACGTATCTTTGATCCACGAAAACAATCACAATTTGAGGCGGAATTCCACATTTATATACATCAAACGATAGCTCCGGGTCTGCAGAACACACATAACCACATGAAAATGGCAAACTCTTACTTGGTTATGATGTATTGGCACCGCAAAGATTTAAAGACAAAAATATAATTTCACATAATTGATGTCACACACAAATAGACTTTTAAAAAAAAGTACCGCAGAGTACCGCTTCGAAAATCTCGCTACATGTCAATGATTCATTGCACTACAAGATCCAACAGTCATTTTTTGCGACTTTTTGCGACTTTGGATGTAGCAGCCAAACATCAACCCGCGCCGGACCGGTGCTCGGCGTCAAACGCGCCGGGCCGGGAGGTGTTGATTGAACACTCCCCTTCTAACTCGGCTCTTGGGCCACATAGCGATACGTAGTAAGTGGCATTCGAAAGAGCGCCCGAAATTCCAGATGAAGTATTTAGTCATTTCTAGGTCAGGTCAAAGGTCACGTCACCAGAGGTCATCAAAGGTAAAATGTTGCATATATCAACATTTCTCGAAAACCGGCCCTTACCTCGGGGACCAATAGAGCTACATCGTTGCGGAAAAGTGCATTCAATTGCTCTTTTAGCGGTCTTTCTGAAATAAGCCCTCAGATTTGGCTTAACCCTCGCCCCTAGTGGTGTTTTTCCAGCCGCGAACGTATAGAAGGGGTCCGTTGGACCCCCCCGCCGCTTCGCCCCTGATCGAGCTAGAGCTTCGCGGAAAAGACGAGCGTGTTGCCCGTGACAAGAGGAAGCTGATGATACCCAATTGTAAGGTCCTAGGTCATCGGTTGACCTTCCAGGTCAGGTCAATGACCCAAAAGTCGGGAAAATCGGGACCTGTTAGAACGTCGTAAAGTGTGGCTGTTATGGGTTTTTTGGGTGCTGATCACGAATATAATGTTGTTTACGATCATAGATGATGTCTTCATACATTTAGGCCAGGTCGGGTCAGGTCAGGTCAGGTCAACCAGTAAGGGTTTTGCCGGGTATTTGCAGTAGGTGGCAACCGCCTCTGACAGCTTTGTAACATGTTACGAAGGCACCAAAGCTGCATAGTAAATGTTCAAATGGTTGCTAGATTCGAATTCAGCTCCAAAAACTAGCCTAGAAACATGTAAAACTCGAAAAAGTGAACCAAGGTCATCAAAGGTCAATGACCTTACCTGACATTCTGGTGACCTTGACACCCACCCTAATGCATGGGAGCAACATAATATCCCATGTTTGAACGCTTTAAACCAAGAAAAGACTGCAAACCCGCGGCTAATGCGAGCCGACATACGCTGAATCGCGATTCCGGCTAAACATGGTCTCGAAAGAAGGTCACAGGTCAAAGATTATTAAGGTCAGGGTCATGAAATTTTTAGGTTAGCTGTAAAAGTAGTTATCGCGAAGGTACTGAAAGTTTCGTTGCGATCGGCCGCTTTTTACGTGAATTACTCGCGAAAAACCAAGGGTTCCGTTCGAAGATTCAGGCCTGTCGCGCTAGAATGGCATATCGGCCCACTGTGCGCTGGTCTGAGCGGTCAGCTGGCGAGACGGCACGGGCATTATGGGAGTTTCGAGAAGCCTTTTGCAGTGTGTCACCTGTGTCTCTTTATCTATATGAGTGTCGCTTGTTCCAGTCGACAAAAGGTACGTCGTCAATGACTTGTCGGCTTACAGCTGTCTGATGAACCCTCTATGTTTGATGGACTGTCTCAGAATCTGACCGCCCCGGCCCGGTGTGAGAGGGGACTGACCCGACAGTGCTCGTTCCTGACACTGTCCCCCGCCGCCGCAGCGCTGGTGTCGGTGTCGGACGAGGTACGCTCGCGGTGCCACCTCAAGTTCTCCGTGGACCGGGTCCTCTCCAAGGCCAGCTCGGTGGAGAGCTTCGCCGTCGACCTGCACCTCAACCTCAGCCTGCTCCAACAGCAGGTGAGGCACCGATGGGCTCCCGTAAAACGGAACGGCTCCCCTAAAACAGAATAGCTCCTATATGACTGACTCCTCTCACCTACGCTTTGAGACGCTACGAACCGACTAATAGCGTCTACTCTATCCGGCCTGTGTTGACCACTTTGTGTGGGTCGACGGTCAATAGCCTGATAGCTCGGGGGCTGCTGTCCGCAGTGGTCTTTGTTGTCATCTGACCGTTTCCCACGCACCGGGCCGTTCTCAGAGTGCTAGTGACCAAATGTGACCCCCTCCCCCATCCGTCCGTTCCCCAGAGCGCCAGTGCCAGCGCCAGCGCCAGCGACGCCAAGCAGTCGAGCAGCTCCGCCTCGCCGAACCACGTGACGCCGGGCTCGTCTGGCGGCTCGAGCCCGGCGCTGCGCGAGGCGGGCACGCCGGCCGGGCCGCGCGGCGCCGCCAGCGCGCCGGCGCACCCGTCGCCGGCGCCGCCGCCCGCCTGGGAGCGGCTCGAGAGCGGCCTGGAGGCGGCACTGGCGGCGGCTCCGCGGCCGGCCGCGCCGCGCGCCAGTCGCGCCTCCGGACTACAGGTCAGTCATGGGGGAGGGGTGCAGATCTGTGGGGGAGGCTAAGAGAGGGCACCGGCCGACCGGAAGGGTAACGGGTCAGGGTGGGTAGCCTGCGATTGTTCAACGAGTCACTGACACGCGGCTTACGTCGCACTCCTCACCACACTGCCAGTGCCAGTGCCGTTAACCCTCATTGACCCCTGTCCGATTGCCGCTGTCTGTACAGGGCGGTCTGCGTGCGGTACAGTGACCCCTCCGTGACCCATCTGTCCGCTGTCTGTACAGGGCGGTCTGCGTGCGGCCCGGTTTGGCTCGGAGCTCTGTAAGCCGTGGCGCAGCCTGGACCTGGAGTCGCAGCAGCTGTGCCATCCTCACCGGCCCGTGTTCAAGACGCAGCGCTCCTCCTCCGTGCCGACGCCCAGCTCCAAGAAGGACGTCCACCTGCAGGCCGCGCTGCACAAGGTACCGTACCGTGGGGAGACAGGGGAGGGGGGCAAATAGTAACGGGGCATCGTGGAGGGCTGTAGAGGGCATTGGGACAAGGTAATGGGGCGGCTCTACATACATAGTGCTTAGGGTAGTGTTGGAGGACTTGTGACTCCCAGTATTGCGGACTTCTCTAAGCATACAATCCATGTCCCGAACTGACCTTCTGAACTGACCTCCCTTGTCCGCCAGCTCTGCCGTCGGGAGGAAAAAAGCCGTATCTGGGGCACTTTTTCGAATTGAAAATTGTTCAGGAGAGGCAAAAACGTGTTTTTTGTTATAAAATTCGTAAACTTCGCTCAATAACGAAACAAAACATACTGCAGTGATCGGAAAGAAATTTCACATCCAATGAAAGTGGTTATAAAAGGGAAATTATTTTAACCTAAAAGCAAAAGGCGAAAAACTTTTTTGCTGCCAATTCAACCCCGAGTTTGCGGAATCTTTCTCTCATGAAAAAAGCCGTATCGTGGAAGAAAGCCGCATCGTACGAGACACCTGAGCAATACTGTCATGCAAAAAGCCGTATGTCTGATACATTGGTTAACCGATCGGGAATAAAGCCGTATCGGCCATTTTTGTTTAAAGGTAGTGTGCCAGCTTTCTTGGACCGTATGGAGTTAATGGCCCAGATAAGGAGAACCGGATTTTTAGAACTTATCCATACCTTCAAAACTCATGGAAACGTCTTAAATTCTTCAAATTTTGAGTACCCCAGTGCGAAATTCGCCCCGACGGGTTGTCGGTCGTACCCCAACCACATTTCACACCACTATGAACAATAAATGCACACACTGAAATCGCTATTACCGATATGCTCATCCAATCAAGTTTCGATAAACCCGTTCATCATCATCTCCTGCGGTTTCGAACACGCCTGTTAGGTGGCTTCTGATGCTCGTCGAGGTCGGAATTTCCAAATACGCGTGGTGCGTCGGGCCGCGCGCTCTGACTTCGGCCAAGAAAAATGCGTCAGCTGATCATTGTCATTTCTGCCACTTGCGTGTGGTGAAATGGGGTCATAACTTATAAGACGGCTTTTTCATATCAATTATTTTACATAAAATCATATTTCAAACCATAAATAATGTTCGACAGCCAAATAAAAGAAACAATACCAATACGGGCTTACAGTTTAAGGCTCGACATTGTGTTGTCTACGATTAGACAGCTGATAACTCATTCCCGTACGTCGTATGGTCGTAACACTATAATGACCTTTGCTTATTGTCACAAGTGCGCCGCATTCGCGATTGTTGCCCGACGCCTGTTTGCAGGTGAGCCCACTACAGTTGTTATACATATCTAAAAACCGAAAAACTTTTAGGCGAAAAAGGCACTATTGCAGGCCCATTTTTGATTTTTTTTGCGATATTAGGTAAAAACAGAAGCTTCTTATCCTAGGAAAAATAAAATGGGAAATCTTTCAAAGGTGGCACACTACCTTTAACCATATGTCGTCAAAAAGCAGTATCATCGGTGCATTTGTATTGACAGCATATTGGTTCATAAAAGTGCCAAAGCAGTTCCGCTGCTGGTTCCGTTCCACTGCTTCAGCTCTCGTGTATGGATATTTAATTGAACGTTCGATACAAAAACAAACATGATACCATTTTAAAACTACATCATCCATGAATAATCGCATTATTGTCGTAACTTTAGGCTCCTGGAATCTGATTGCGCAGGGTGCCATCAAAAGGCAGCTTGACCAACCGACCAGGGACGTAGCCAAGGGAGGGCACAGGGGCCATGCCCCCCCCCCCCCCATCTAACGGCAAAAAAAATAAAATAAAATTTAATAAAAAAAATAACCACAGCTGCACTACACCCCAAAAGATAGTGGGCCAAATCCGAGCAGTTTTCCTTTTCTGGAGGGGCACGACACTAAGCCGCGACCTGTGGCCCCTCCCTGAGCAAAATCCTGGCTACGTGCCTGCAACCGACAAGAGGAATCACGAATGCTGTCTTTGTACGGTGCTTCAATTTTCGATTACACTGGACTCCAGAGTTTCTTAAATTCTGAGCCACCGATATATTCGGAGAGATGAGTGTGCCGGTCTGCCGCTGCGCCGGAGCCACGGCGACAATGTCGAGAGAACCGAGATAGTGTAGTTTCCCATCGTCGATCTGCAGACCTCAAAGCACTTCAAGGTGGAAAGAGACGATGAGTGGGAATGTTGCTGATTAGCTGGACACAAGGTTCCCGGAAAAGGGACGCTGTTAAGTCACGTGGTGCGCAGCTACAAGCACGGAACCGCCCGGCTCCTGAACCAAAATAGAGGATGGTGTAGAACTTAAGGAATCCCCGTAAAGAAACTGCATCTACAAAGCCTGTGCGAAACATCTAGGGCGACAGCACTGTGCCGCGGCTGAGGGTGAAAGCAAATGCCGCCTCATTGTCGGAGATCGCTAGACTGATGAGAGCTCCACAGTCTGCGGGAACGCCCTTTAGAGAGCGCACCCTCAAAAGGCCCCCCCCCCCCCAATGTGCACTCGTATTCACAGGGCTCTGATTATTGCGCCTACTGCAACAGAGCAGAGGGCTATTCAGTACGTCTTGCTGCATTCTCCACCGGCCACAGCTGTGCTGGTAGGCTCTGGGCAGCTGCCCGTAGAATATGACAATGTTAGAATTTCAAATATGATTGAACATCATGGGCATGAGGGAGACGGAAAGAAGACGGTAAAGTCATTGACCAGGAATGGAAGTGACAGGGATGACGGTCCCAAAGATACATCGGGCGTGGTCACAATTATCACAATGAATGTGACGAGCTTGGCAATAGCAATCGACCTTTCACGGTATTCAACTATATCTTCAACGGTTTTACGACAAAGATTGTAGGTCGTCGTACTAAGCGTGCCGGCTACGAGCTGCATGTCTATGATGATTACCGGGTCGAACTTAACATGATGCTATTTTGGTTGTGGGGTGGGGTGGGGACAGGGAGTCCAAATTAATCATGGGGAGGCTAGGTCGGGTATTTTTTATTGGAATTTTAAACGAAGCTGGGGAAAAGAACGGTCGGATTATACTGGCGCTCCCGGCTGGTTAGCACATCAAAATACTGAATGCCCGGCACCCTGCTGACACCAGCGAGTTGGCAAAGTTCTGTTGGCTTCAACCTTCTCAAGTTCACTCCCTATTTTATTTTAATTAAAATTCCCCTATAAATGGTCACATATTGGTACGATCACGTAGCATGTTTGACGTTTGTGTAAATGTTCAACTGTTCCGTCCAGGATATGCCGAAGCCATGCTAAATGAGTAGATACGGCTTTCTTCCAAACTGCCTGGACCAACGATTCGGCTCATATTTCACAGGCCACCATCAAATAAAAGCCGTATCTACAAGATACGGCTTTCTTCCTGACTTATCAGTTCCACATTCTTTGTTTGAAATTTTGTGTAAATGCCGTATCTGCCGAATTTAAGGATACGGCTTTCTTCCTGCATGTTTTGCTATCCCTGGTGTAACCTTAAGTATTTACCTTAAGTATTTACCTTAAGTAAAGGTCATTAGGTACCCTTTCGAGTAATCAGACCCTTTACTCAAGAGATGCCTCCTCTTCTTCTGACGAAGACGAGTAGGCTGCCATGCTAGGTGAGGCCATACATTGATGGCCACGATGATCATTAGTATGAGAACTTGTAGTTGAACTTTTCAGGGTGGTCCTTCCATTCCTTCCCCAGTCTGTACTTAAACACATCGACATTTGGAGCATCGATGGTGTGGGTTGACAGCTTGTTCCATGTCTGAGTTACTCGTGCCGCAAAGAAGGCTTTTCTGGGTCCCAATTGATGTTGAACTTGAAGTTTTTGATCGTGACCTCGGGTGACACGGCTGAGAGAGTTCTTGAACATGCTGTTGTGACAACACGGGCACTCTCTTTGGAAGTCCACCTTGTCGAAGCCTTTCAATATTGTGAAAGTCTCGATGATGTCCGACCGTTTCCGTCGGAATTCCAGAGTAGGTAAATTAAGGCTCCTGAGGCGATCTGAATATGAAAGGTGAGACAGTCCGTTCACCAGCCTTGTTGCCCGCCGCTGCACCTGTTCGAGTGCATCTTTGTCCTTTTTGAACTTGGGACTCCATATAACAGTTGCATACTCGAGGTGGGGCCTGACAATGCTTTTGTACAAGGCTTGGAAAATGTCGCTGTCAATGTTTGCAAAGGTATGCTTGATTGCACCAAGAATTCTATTGGCCTTGTTAATCTGGTTAGTGACATGTTTTGAGAAGGATAGCTTCATGTCTATAGTGACTCCCAGGTCCTTTTCCTCACAGACTGCTTCAAGGGTATATTTGCCTCCACCCATAGTTGTCATGGTATACTCACTTCCAGGATTTGTTGGTCCTAGATGCATGACCTTGCACTTGAGTGGATGAAAGATCATCTGCATTGTTTTTGCCCAATCTTGCAAAGAGTTGATGTCCTCTTGCAGATTGTGAAGTTCACCATCGCGCTCGTTGATGACTTGGTAGACCTTGGTATCGTCCGCAAACATAGAGATATGACAATTTAAGAGGTCGGGAACATCACAGACAAACATGGAAAACAAGAGAGGCCCGAGCACTGAACCTTGCGGCACTCCACTTGTTACATACTCCCAGTCTGAGAGTGATCCATTGACGTTCACCCTTTGCCGCCTGCCTGTTAGAAAACTCCTTATCCACTGATGAGTCTTTGCATTCACCCCTAGAGCCTGGACCTGGGCTAGAAGCCGTTCATGGGGCACAGTGTCGAACGCTTTGGCATAGTCCAGAAACACAACATCCACGGGTAAGCTGTGGCTTAGCGCTTCCGTCCAAATATCATGAGCTTCCAGTAGGTTTGTGACCGTAGATTTCCCTGTGATGAAACCATGTTGTTGGCGAGCGATAAGATTGTTTGTCTTCAGGTGAGCAATGATGTCCTCGCATATGATCCTCTCCAGAATCTTGCATAATATTGATGTCAGTGACACTGGTCGGTAGTTCGCGGGATCACTTTTGTCGCCTTTTTTAAATATTGGCGTGACGGTGGCCACCTTCCACTGCCGTGGAACTTCTCCAGTTTCAATACTTTTACAGAACAGAGATGTGATGGGTGTCGCAAGTTGGTCAGCAAGTTCGTGCAAAACACGAGGGTGCATGTTGTCGGGGCCTGGCGATTTATCAATCTTCAGTGTTTTCAGCTTGGCATGGACTCGCTGAACAGTTATCGCAACTTGCATCTCTGCCTCCAAAGGCTTTGGAGCTAACGTTGGGATCGATGACTTGTCTTCCTTTGTGAAAACGCTTGCGTACTGATGATTCAATATATCAGCCTTGTGTTTGTCGTTAGTTGCCAGTTCACCATTAGCACTACGCAAGTCCGAGATACCACATTTTGACAAATCCGTTTTTGAATTTTTATATTATATATAATATCTTCATTTTTGAGTGTACACACGTTTGAGCAGTACCATTAAACGCACCATGAAAAGAGCTTTCCAACGATATCAAAAACGAAAAATCGATAAAAATGCGACTTACGGCTTTTTTCCTCCCGACGGCAGAGCTGGAGACGTCGTCGGTGCCATCCTAAACAGACCTCCGCAGAGTGACATCTGCTGTCCCACTGAACTGACCTCCCGCTGTCCTACTGAACTCACCCCCCCCCCCCCCTCCGCCGTCCGACAGCTGGAGACGTCTTCGGTGCCGTCCAAGGAGCGTTCGGCGCGCGTCTCCGTCTCCAACGAGAACAACCTGCTGCTGGAGCCCGAGGTGCTGACCGACCCGCAGATCCAGGTGCTGGCGCTCACCGTGCTCGCCACGCTGGTCAAACACTCGACCGGCGGCGCCGAGACGCGCGTCCTCTACGAGTACCTCGCAGAGGCGTCCGTTGTCTTCCCAAAGGTGTTCCCCGTCATGTGAGTGCTGGAGGGGGGACAGAGAAAGGCTCTGGGCGTAGTGGTGAGATGAGAAACCGGGTGGCGATTTTGTGTTGGGAGTGGTTACGAAACCTTCGATGCTGTATGAAATAAAGTTGTATGAAGGCTGTAGTGGTGGGCGACGGGCGTAGTGACATCTGCTTCTTTGTGATACGACTGGCGTGATATACTCTGTGTTTACGGTGATGGTCACGACTCTAAATTGTGTGAAGTCGAGCTGACTCAACGTGCTGTGAAACGTCGTTCAGAACCGTAATTAACTCAATACCGAGTCTGTTTCAGCCTTACCTAAATGTTGGTACGGTTCTCGTCTTCCCTGCGGTCCCTCCATTCGCACCCGTGACGCACACCGTTCTCCTTTGGCAGTCACTGTCTGCTGGACGCCAAGATCAACCAGGTGCTGTCCAACTGTTACGACAAGGTGATCCTGACGTGCGTGCAGTGCATCATTCAGAACATGATCGCCACCGAGCACGAGACCGTCTCGCAGCAGCTGCACTCCATCCAGGCCTACGGCTTCGGCGGACTCTGGCGCTTCGCCGGGCCCTTCACGAAGGTACGCACCGCCCGGGACAGACACGCCGTGAAACGCTACAACCAAACGCACCTGAGTTGCTGCCCTTGCGCTGATTTTTGTTACACACGACTATCGCCTCGTATCTATAGTTACATAAACTCAGGCTCTGACTCGGGGTGTACTGTGTCCTCCCAGTCCCACCCCACTATTGTTCCTCTCAATGTCTGACCGTTCCGGGCCCTATGCCGCGGTCTCTATCCACCCTGGACCCGTGTCTAACTCAGACCCTGTATATATGCTGCCGTGTCTGTCTGTCTCTGTCTGACCTTCCCCGACCCCTTGCCGCCCTGTCTGACCTCCCCCGAACATACCCCGTGACGTCCCCGACCCTTGCCGCCCTGGCTGACCTCCCCGGACCGCCGCCCCGCCCCTCCACAGTCGACCAGCACGGGCGTGAACGCCGAGCTGTTCCGCAACTGCCTGGAGGCGATGGTGGAGACGTGCTGGTCGGCCGGCGACCACGAGCCGGACGTGCTGCCCGCCTGTCCGTCACTGCTCTCCGTGTCGTCCACGGTCAACGCCTCCAGCTCTCTGTCCAGCCCCACCGTCGGGTCGCCCACCGAAAAAGGTGACTGAGTCGGGCGCACACCGCCGGGGGACGGGAGCGGGGGCTGGTTGGGGATATAATTGCTATTTCAATGTATGCTGACAAATAATTTTTCCTCTTCTTACTAGTTACTACGCACTTCTAGCTAAAGGTCTTTTTTTCTGTCCACGTAGGATTGCAGGATTCTTTTGATAGCGATAAGACTGAACTGTTTCGCGGCCTTACCTTAATTCTGTCTCAGCGATCTGTGGAGGTCCGATACTGACGCTGGCCGCGCCCGGACGTCCCAGTTTGTCCCCAGAACCCGTTCTGAGCGGCGGCGGCGCGTCAATGCGCCGACCGCAGTCGGACCTCCCCAAGGATCTCGCGTGGCGCCTGGCCTGGCGCCGGCCCACTCTGCCTGTACCTGACCGTCTCGGGCTGCCAGCTGCTGGCCAACTGATCATAGCTACCGGTGCGGCGGCGTTGGCCCGCCCGCCCACCGGCGTGCATCTCAGTGTGAAGGTGTATTTGTTGCGGCGCGCGCCGTGTGTTGGTGTGTTCTGTCGCCGGGCCGGCACCGGGGCCGTCTCCCCGCCCACCTCTGTACATACGCACACACACGCACACATGTACACCCGCCGCGCGGCGCAGTTAGTCACGGCACCTCGGCAGCAGCTAGTCCACCCGCACCGCACCGCTCCGCTCCGCTCCGCCGCTGGTCCGCTCAGGTAGCCGCGGGGGGCCGAGTCGCCCGCGCGCCGGCCGCAGGGCGCTCAGCTCTCACCCGACCGGGCGACCAGGAGCCGCTGGAAAAGCATTTATTCTCACCGTAGCCGCGCCGCCGCTGTCGCCACCGCCGTGTGTTGTGTTGGACGGCGCGTCTGTTAGAGCTGTACTGGTTTGTGGCTGCTGTGGCAGGTCGGTGGGGCCGCCGGTCAGTTTCAGGGTGTCGGTTGGTACGGTCTCGGAGCCCCCCGGTCAGTCGGAGGGCGATGTGGCTCGGTCAGTCGGGGTCGCGGTGCAGCCAGTCAGTGGATACACCCTGTGCGGTGTCAGGAGGCCGACGGCTGGGGCGGAGCGCGCCGCCCCGCGTGTCTCAGTGGGCAGCCCTCCGTGCGGTGTGCCGTGCCCCGCCCGCCACTCAGCTGCTGGTAGGCATCTATTTTCAATTGTTAACTCGCTGTATCTGAATCGTGTCGGTCGTACGCAGAAATCTCCGTATTTTGATGTCTTTAAGCTGTTCTGCACATTAAATGTACTATTTATTTTGCCAAATACATATATCAAAATGTGTGCGAGGCCTATTCCTATTGACTTTCGTAGACGGACGATGGGCGAACTTAACCCGCGCCGTGCTGGGGGTGGGGCGTTTTTAGCCCCCCCCCCCCTCAGGTTTTTTCACGTGGTACACCTGTTAATACATCTTTTTCCGAACATGTGAAAAGTTCAGACCCGGGTCGCCTAAGGTTAGATCCGGGTCATGTCAAGTGATCTTGCCTCAGAAAATGTTCAAGGGCTCGTTAAAGCTACACCGACTGAACGATTACTTTGAAGCTTTCAGCGATTTTGATAACAATAACAGCATGTATGAATTGTATATCTCGGATTTTTTTTTAAATATCTGTGACCTAAGGTCAGGTCAATTTTGCGACCTCTCCACAGTCAATGGGAGAAAATTGAAATGCGCCTCTTTTGGACGAATATCGTTCAAAACCCTCTCAAATACCGGTTCATAGGTAGGTAAACATGACACACTGAATCGGAAAAATGCACCTGCGACCCCTCTGTGTGCCCCTGAGGTCATCTCAGGTCATGAACGGTCACCAGCAGTTTATTTTTTTGGCTATAACTTTTGATAGACGTCCTAGAGCGGTGAAAACACGTCATGTGTTCAGCTCGACGATACGGATCGACTGATATGCAACATGACCCTCTCCGGTCAGGTCATGACCTTGACTGAGGTCAAATTTTCAAAATGACCTTTCAAGGTCAACGTATAGTTCATTCGACGCGTCTCGACGAGAGGAACACAGAACACAAACATCAGAAAGGTTTGCAAAAGGGCTATCGAATGCGCTTTTCCGCAGCGAATGCGCTTGTAGCTCTGTTGGTTCCCGAGTCAGCCGTTGGCAGTTTCCCAAATTGTTGAAATTGACATTTGACCTTTGATGACCTCTGATGACCTGACCTTTGATATGACCTAAAAAATGACCGAAGTGATTCCGTCACTATTTTTGACGCTCTTTCGATTACCGCTTACCGCATGTTGCTACGTGGCCTAGGATCCGAGTTAGACGGAAAACGCCTCCCCCCAGCACGACACGGAAAACACAGGCCACCAGCACGGCGGGGGTTAATAGTGGCACACTACCGAGAGTGACGCTGGTCACCATTACTCAACACGTTTGTCCTATGATAGATTTCGATATTGTTTTTGGCCATTGTTTTGCGTAGGTGACCATTGGCTCTCGTTTCTCAGGAGTTTCGTAACTGGGGGCCAATGCACAGTGGCCCTTTTTCAGAATTAGCACGCATAAATTCAAAATATTTTTTTTTCTTCTTTTGAGTAACAAGCAGTCTAATCGTGTGCAAAACATTCCAAACTATCCGATGGTGCCATTTTTACCTCCTAAAAAATAATTATCTTTGGTAAAACTGACCGCAAAATCGAAGTTTGTCGAGAGGCGCGCGGACACCACCGGCGGACCCTAAAAAGTAGGGTGAGATGAACATCAATTTGTAAGGCTTTCGGTGAGAAAATATTAAAAATTAGTGGCATGGCTGTGAAGCTGAGTTTACGTAGAAGCCGTAGAAACCACAATTTTCATTGTATAAACTTAAATAGACCACTTTTGCCGAATATTGTGGACACAATAACAGGACAATTATTAACTGGAGATGGCGGCATACATATGAAGCTTTATGTTAAGTAACACACTCTGGGACATATCGTATTATACATCGTTCGAATCGCCGATCTCTCCTGACCATGTCCACCAAAGGGCATCGCGCCATTTTGCGCCATTTTGCTTCTACGGTGAATAACGTGAGCCAGTTCAGTCCGCGAGCGGCTGTGGCTCCTATTCGATACGACTAAGCTCATTGACCTGGCTCGAAGCTGGTGTCACCTGGTGGGCGCCTAAATGTGGCTTGACTTTTGCCATAAGATGTGCTTATTGAAATGTCATATAGGCATAACGCTGTGCTCAAGAAAAACTGTCCGATTTCTTGTCGCGTTTGATGTCCAAGCCGCACAAGTCCCGTGGTCGGCTTAAGATCTAACGTCAAAAGCGCCTATGTGTTTGTATTGTTCGCGTCGCGCTGACCTTAGTTGCTGCCCGGCCGGGGCCGATTAACGGTGGCTGGCAACAGCTGCAGATGCGGTCACGTGACGCCCTGAGGCGTCCTGGCGGTCAGTGCAGCGCGGTCGGCTGGCGGGCTCGCCACACTTGCGTTCGGAGCGGCCTGGGCCGGCGGGCGAGCCGTGCGAACGTGCGCCAAATCTTGGGCCGAGCGGCCTGTCGCTGTTGGGCCGAATCTCCTTGGGCAGTTCGTTTCTTTTCTTGTCTTTGCATTGGCAGGGAATACGTCCTTGATCACGTGGTGATGTCTTGCACCACTTTCAGGTAATGTGGGAATTAATGCGTGCTAATTCTGAAAAAGGGCCACTGTGCAATGGCCAAATATTTGAACTCCAATCGGCTTCCGTTGCCCACACCGGCTGAGATCACCAAACGTCTCAGAAAACTCCACGATACACTGATCAAAACTGAGTAAGTATATTTTCATCTTACCACGCGTTGCGAGCGCACAGTCGCTCGGAATTGTTCGGGTCTACACTGTCATATAAGCAGAACGAGAGAACAGGCGGGAAGTTCGAGAGAGAACAGCGAAGGCGTCGGTCGGACAGGGGGCGGAAGAGATCGAGTCGTCGGAACACGCTAGTCATTTGAGTACGATCGCGGCTCGCACTAAACACAAACGCGCGCGGTCTGCCGGGTACGACAATAAGCAACGGTGATCAAACCACTCTCACACACACACACAACACTATCGGAGCGGACAGCCTGTCCATTGGTAAGTACATACGAGCACACACGCTACACTATCTGCGGCTCTAAACAGGCCGCTGGTCCCGAGGTTGGCAGGACGCCGTATGGGGCGATGGTCCCTCGGTTGGCAGGCCGCCTCTAGGCGAGGGAAGATTCCGCTGAGGCGCCCGTGGTCAGTTCCGGCGCCTCTAGAGCTCGCTGTCAGAGGCCGGTCAGCACTGGCGCCTCCTGGGCCCGCTGTGGTCAGCGCCGGCGCCTCTTGGGCTCCCAGTCAGCGCGACGGCGTCTCTGTCACAGACCAGTCAGCGCCGGCGCCTCTTGGGCTCCCGGTCAGCGCGCCGGCGCTTCCTGGGCTCCCGGTCAGCGCCGGCGCCCTTGGGCTCCCAGTCAGCCGGCTGGCGTCTCTGCCACAGGCCAGTCAGCGCCGGCGCCTCTTGGGCTCGCTGTCGGGCACCGGCGGGTCGGCCGACGGCCTCAGGTGCTGGCGGACGCGCACCGTCTCATTGAACCGGACCTACGGCACATAGATGGCTTGTCACTCACGAAATAGAGCCCGACCAAATCTGCGGGCGCCAAACCAAATGATAGGTTAAGCATACCGTCGTGCCAGCGATCTTCGGTCATTTCACTTCATTTTAGTTTTCATTGTAAAAAAATATATGATACCAATTAGCCCGGACGTTATCCAGTGCCTGACGGGCGGCTGGCTTTACTTAAGTGTCTGGCGGCTGTTTGACATGTTTCTGAAGCTCAAGTATCTGACTCGTGTGTCGTCGGCTCTGACTCACCCGTCTGCTGGCTGTCTGCCGATTCTGACTCACCTATCTGGGGGCGGGCTGCCGACTCTGGCTCACCTGTCTGTTGGTGTCTGTCGACTCTGACTCACCCGTCTGCCGCTCTGACTCACCTGTATGCTGGCTGTCTGCTGTCTGCCGACCCTGACTCACCTGTCTGGGGGCTGTCTGCGAACTCACCTGTCTGGGGGCGGGCTGCTGGCTGCCGGACGACATGCTGCTCAGGTCGGAGCCGATCGAGAGCGTGTCGCCGGTACCGGCCGTGCTCTGTCCGCCGCCGTCGTCCAGCGACTCCATCACTGACGGCGTGAAGCTGAACTCGAGCGAGCCGCCGTCACCGCCGTCCGGTTCCGTCACCGACTCCGTCACAGCGGCACTGACGGAGGGAGGGAGAAGGGTCATTAGTTACACTGGCGGGGCAGCCGCACTGGAGGAGGGAGGGCCAGCGAATGGTAAGTCATACCGACACCGACCGCCACACTTAGATGACAGAGAATAAATGGTCAGAGAAAGGAGCGACCCGCACTGAGACAGGCACCTGCTAACGGCCTGGGGGACAATCGGCCGTTGTCCTGTTGTCCGTAACCTCCCCTCTCCGTATCTGCCCAGCTGGAGACGCTGGCCGTGTCCTCCCCTGTCCGAGCCTGTGTCCTCCGGCCCTGTCCGTGTCCTCCCCTGTCCGTGTCCTCACCTGTCCGAGCCTGTGTCCTCCGGCCCTGTCCGTGTCCTCACCTGTCGGTATCTGCCCAGCTGGACACACTAGTCGTGTCCTCCACGGCCTCGCTGGCCACGGTGAGCCGGTGCAGCTGGGCGGCGCCGGGCTGCGGCGCGGCCGCCACCACCACGCCGGCCTCTGTGGCCGCCAGGAACCGTGCGCCGTTCAGCTGCAGCTGACTGACAGCCGGAGGCACGGCGTCGGCGGCGCGGAACGAGCCGCGCGCCACCTCCACCACCTCCACGGCGTTGAAGTGGAATATGTACAGGAACGGCGCCTGCCACGCTGCGAGGGGGGGGGGGGAGGTTAGACCTGGCGGCGAACTGACCACCGTCCGCGGACTGACGGCAGTCTAGGGAGGGGCATCGAGATCAGCAAGTTGCGCGAGAGCTTCGGGGAGGCTAAAACTGAAATCCGTAATGAAGCCAAAATGAAACAAATTGTCATGCGTACGGAAAGAAAGACTAGTAGGAAAAATAGCTCTACAGTTTTCCACAAGGCCCCGCCCGACTTCTGCCTCTGGGCTCGTCCGGTGTCCGTCCACTGACTCACCGAATGCGAGCGGCAGGCGGGTCCACTTGATGTCCTGCTGCCGGGACCGGGCGCCGAACTGGTCGACGAACACGCCCAGCTCGTGGTAGCAGAGCAGGAACTCCTTCTCGGAGACGGACAGAATGGCCACCGGGAACGAGCGCATCTGACTGGTACCGTACACGATGTACGCCAGGCTGGCGTCCGACGAGTCCAGGAACTCTGCCGCACAGGACGACAAACGTGACGCTACAGCTTCACTGATCGTATCGAAAACAGAAAACATAATTGTAGATATTCACAAGATAGGTGAAGAGTCGCGGCAGAAGGGGAAGGCCCGCCGGAGTTTCTGCAGTACGCGCCACGTCCATGTCGACGAACCGTCGCTGACCGTTGCCGTACCTTCGATGGCGAAGTTGCTGAGGTCGACCTCGAAGAACCGGTCAGTGCCGATAATGATGGAGGTGGCCGTGAACTGGAGACACGTGGCCGGCTCCTGCGTGCTGAACTGCTTCACCAGCTGGTACGACGACATCTCGTAGCTCCAGCGGAACAGGCTGCCGAACAGACCAACAGATGGTCAAGGAGTGAGTGAGTGAGTGAGTGAGTGAGTGAGTGAGTGAGTGAGTGAGTGAGTGAGTGAGTGAGTGAGAGAGAGAGAGAGAGAGAGAGAGAGAGAGAGAGGAGAGAGAGAGAGAGAGAGAGAGAGAGAGAGAGAGAGAGAGAGAGAGAGAGAGAGAGAGAGAGAGAGAGAGAGAGAGAGAGAGAGAGAGAGAGAGAGAAATATTCGGCTATACACTACACTGGACGGCCATGGCGGAAACGGGCCCTTCAGCAGCTCATCTCCCCGTCTCTGCACATGACAGAACCGGGACCTCCTTAGTAGGGGTCCTGCACACTCACCAGACTCTATTGGAGGAGGCAGACACTCACCAGACACTATTGGATGAGGACGTATAAACTCACCAGACCCGGTTGGAGGAGGCGGACACTCACCAGACTCTATTGGAGGAGGCGGACACTCACCAGACACTATTGGATGAGGACGTATAAACTCACCAGACCCGGTTGGAGGAGGCGGACACTCACCAGACTCTAATTGGAGCAGGCGGACACTCACCAGACTCTATTGGAGGAGGCGGCGCACACGTAGACCTGTTTGTCGGCCGTGGCGCCGGTGGAGAGCAGGTGACAGCTCTCCAGACCCTCCAGTCGGCACGTCTCCAGCCGGGCCGTGGTCGCCGAGACGGCCTCAGCACAGGCGCGCACCGCGTTCAGAGGCGCCACGCGCAGCTCGTGCTCCTTACCTGGGGATGGGGGAAAGAGGGAAGGTGAAGAAACTCACAGCGTCCCGACAACGGTGACAGCAGGCCGCAGGAGAACGAGGTCAACTCGCACAAGAAAAGAGAAAAGCATTCAACATGATGTATGACCTCAAAAACCTCGGCATCAATTCATACGTTGTCATAAACTTGACTGTCAGGCGGGAATGAAATTCAGATGCCTCCGGACACTTTATAATAGTCACCGAGGATCCTGTGAGTCGATAGGGACTAGGGAGGCAGTCATGACGAGAAGGGGTCGTGTCTGTTTAAAATCAGAAATATTGTCTATCACATAAGGCTTTGTAGCATATCCTTCCAGCACGCTCTCCGCGGCAGTCCCGCGGCCAGTCCAGTGTCCGTCCCAGCTCACATACCGCAGATGAACGCGAGCTGGTCCAGCTCGGGCACCTGCTTCATCATCAGTACTGGCGGGAAGGCATCCACCTTAATCCTGCGCTCGGGACGCGTCTTGTCAGATAGCGCCAGCGAGTACAGGCCGTCCTCTGTGCCCAGCAGCATCAGCTGGAGGGGAGGGGGGGGGGGTCAGTACAGACTACAGGCCGTCCTCCGCGCCCAGCAGCATCAGCTGGAGGGGAGGGGGAAGGGTCAGTTACAGCACACACGGCGAGTACAGGCCGTCCTCTGCACCCAGCAGCATCAGCTGGAGGGGAGGGGAGGGGAGGGGAGGGGAGGGGAGGGGAGGGGAGGGGAGGGGAGGGGAGGGGAGGGGAAGGTCAGTTACAGCACACACAGCGAGTACAGGCCGTCCTCTGCACCCAGCAGCATCAGCTGGAGGGGAGGGGAGGGTTACAGCACCGAGTACAGGCCGTCCTCTGTTCCCAGCAGCATCAGCTGCAGACGCGGGGACACGTCCGACTATGATTCGTTACCATGTCACACCTCAGACATTGAACATATCGCCCACGACGGACTCATTAATTGGCAAACAGAAATGCAAGCTACTGGTGACGAGGACATTCTTAAATGTCAAAGTTCCCCACTGGCCTTGGGAAAAAGGCGCCGTTCACCTATCTACATACTTCAGAGTCACAACCCTTCCCGCTGTCCACCATCTCCTGTCCCGCCCCCGCTGACGGACCTGTTCGGTGACCATGTAGGCGCAGTTGATGTCGATGTTGTCGCGCCCCTCGGCCGAGTAGAGCAGCTGAGCGCGCGCGCCGCCGCGGCTCTCGTCGGTCGCCGCCGCCGCCGGCACCACCGACTCGAGTAGCGTCACCCACTGCTGCTTCTCGGGCAGACTCGAGCAGAGGAACTGGTACGACTTGGCCGGCCAGCAGGTCGTCTCCTGCACGATACCCACCTGGTGGCGACGAGGGGTGGGCCGCGTCAGACACGGGCCGTGGGACATATGGCGTGGGGTGAGCTGCGTCAAACACAGGCGGAAAACATAGCAAGGGAAGAGTTTACGCCGATATGAACGATAATGTGTCGAATTTTGATGTTTCGTGCTACCATTTATATTTATTCTCGACCCTGGCCCGTTTTGTAACCGACGGGGTCCCGTGACCACCCGTTCAGTGCCCACCTTGAAGACGTAGGGCAGGTCCCGGCGTGCCAGCTGCGGCACCTCCGAGTACGCCACGTCCGCGTCCACGTGTACGTGTCCCGAGCGCAGGTCGACGGTCTGCAGTGGCGGGGGCGCCGGCCCGCCCGGCGACGGCTCCTCGGCGTACAGCGTCAGCCGGCCGTCCTCGACCGAGAGGAAGCGGCGCTCCCAGCCCGTCTTACCGGCCCTGTGTGCAGCGGGGCGGGGCAGTTAGGTTAGCCGGCGCTCCCCAGTCCGTCTTAACGCTCCAGTACGGAGCAAGATAGGCACGGGATAAATTTGGCGAAAGAGTATAATACCAAACAATAGAGGAACAATGATCCAGCGTTGTCGACTTTCAAGAGCTTCAAAACTATGGCTTTCCCACACAAGCGCATCCATTTCTGAAAAGAAAATCTTATTTATTCAAATGAGCCGTCCCAGCCCACCCTGACTCACCGCGGCACCCTGATCCAGCCCTTTCCGGCGATGGGCGTCTCCGGCTGCTGTCTGGGCGGTTTGGGCGGACCGGTGGCGGCTGAGGCGGGGGCGGCGGCGGCGGCGCGGCGCATGGTCGGCGACGCGTCCGACTGCTGCCACGAGTCGGAGAAGTGACGCGCCAGGGCGGCCGGCAGGCCACACGTGCGCGGCAGTTCGGCGGCGCACTGTCGGCCCGGAGAGGGACGCCGGTTAGTGGCAGTCAGACTAGCTCTCGGTGTCCGAGGATCGGTACCCTGATCCGCTCCGGTGACAGACACAACAGAGTCACGGACTGACTCGGAGCCGCGACAGAGTGACGACACGACGAAATAGTCTATAGAGCTATTGTGAGCAGCTGATTGTAATTGCATCGATATAAAACTTATTGTGTAAAAAAGCACACCATACAATTACATATCGACGTTTAAAATAAACACCCCTCTGGGAGTCTGGTATCGATGCAGGCCGTACCGATCCTCCAAAGCGCCTAACTCAGCGTCGGACCACCCTGCCCAGCAGCCGCTGCGGCCCGCTGTCCGGCCGGCCGGCCTCACCTTGGGGTGCGCGGTGACGTGGCACTCGGCACAGCGGGCCGCCGTCCGTCCGAACCGCACCGGTCCCAGGCAGGCGGCGCACTTGGCGGCGCGCGTCATCAGGCCCGTGTCGAACCGGTGCGGGATGTTGTGGTGCATCCGCTGCGGGGTGGGCGTGGCGGCCGGCAGCGCCGAGCCCGAGCGACTGCCGGCGGCCGGCGCGCGCGACGCCGGCGCAGGGGTGCTCTGCACGCTGGGTGACTGCGCCAGCAGGCGGAGTGCCCGCCGCGACTGCGGAGTGCCGCCCAGGCAGGGAGTGTCCGGACAGCTCGGCACTCCTGGCGCAAAGCAGGAACGGAGGACGGTCAGATATAGCGGTGAACGGTAAGTAAACAAACAAGCGAGAATCGAAACCAAAATCTTACAACGGTTGAGCTTGTACGACATAATCTGAAGAACTAGCGTTGCAGCGAGGTTAGGACTTAGCGCAGTTTCGCCCTTAGATCGTTTTACCTAGTCACAAGACCAATAAATGTAGGGAAATGAAAAGAAGTAAGAAACTGAGAAGCACAGAAATAGCAGTTATCATTGCTATGTAGTGGTCAGCTCAGGCGGACTATACCGGACCATTTCGATCCAGCTCAGCCATCAGCTCCGCTCCCACCTTTGTTGGTGAGTGAGACGATCTCGGCGCGCGCCCGGTTCAGCTGGTCGTTCAGCTGTTTGTTGCGCATGCGCTCTCGCTCCAGCAGTCCCTCCAGGTCGCGGTACTTGAGCGGCACCGGGGTGCAGTTCTCCTTCTGCGGCTTCTCCCCAAACAGACGGTCCGCCAGCGTCTGTAATACACACGGAGTAATTAGTCAGGGGCGGTGAATGGAGTGGGGAGGCCCACAGATCGCAGACAGGCGTGTCGGTAACACTTAATACAGCCGTCATTCAGAGTCAACATCACCTCACACAGCCTACCTAACTGCCTGTGTGCGTACCTTTTTCTTGGCGGGCGCCTCAGACTTGGCCTGCAGGAAGTCGATGAGCTTGGTCTGCTGGCTGACGGTGCCCTCGTAGCGTTTCTCGGCCTCCTCGTGGCTGAGCTGCAGCTCAGAGATCACCCGCTCCAGCTCGGCGATCCTGGGTGAGGGGCGGGAGGCGAGGTCAGTCACGGCGCACACGGTGGTGTGGTAAGCGAGACTGATACTGTGGATGTACTGTGTCGGTGTGGTGTGATACTGCAACATCACTACACCTTTTTACACTCAACTTAAAATAAGTCACACTCAAATTAAAAAAGGTCAAATTCAAATTAAAAAAGGTCACAATCAAATTAAAAAAGATCACACTCAAATTAAAAAAGGTCACATACAAATTAAAAAAAGACCACATTCAAATTAAAAAGCTCACATGCGATTTAAAAAAGGTCACATTCAAATTAAAAAAGGTCACATTCAAATTAAAACTGTATTTCGTTTACCCTTTTCCAGCCATATATTTTGGCAACCGCTTGGCGGATTCATCAGTGGTCCGGAGCAGTCAGATAGCCTAATCATATTAAAAACTGAATGACTGTTTTGATGTATCCGATTCCGGGTAACCGTCCCGGTGCGTGGCTCTCTCTCAAATGCCAAATCAGGAGCGTTTAAATGGCTTCTCTCACAAGTCACAAATTTTTGCAAGGATTGGAACGATTATTATGAAACTCATGGCTTGTATAACTATTCTATTTTACTTACCTATACGGGTTCCATGTGACAATAAATTATCATGTGTCACGGTCGGGGTGCTGTTGCACGTGCGCATGTGTGGGCCCCGCTTATGTATCTCGAGAACAACAAGGCCGATTGCACTCAGAGCTAGGGACCGGCTGTTTGGGTGATTTTAGCAAGTCAGTTGCTGTCTCATTTTGCACATGCGCACGTGTTAAGACGAATTTTGCATATCAAGAACGGTTAGGCCGATGGGACTCAAAGCTCGTATGCCGCTAGAGACAGCTATTTGGGTATCCCCTATCCCGTTGATGTCAGTTAGGGTCTCACTTTGCATATGCGCACGTGCACGCGCAGGGCACTACATATACCTACCAGCCTCCAAACACCCACAGGGCTACATGGACACACATCGAGTACATATAAGTTAAGTGTACCGTGGATAATCAGATTATTCTGCGCATGTGCTGACCCTAACTGAAATCAACGGGATACCCAAAAAGCCTGTCCCTAGCGACATATGAACTTTGAGTCCCATCGGCCTAACCGTTCTTGATATGCAAAATTCGTCTTAACACGTGCGCATGTGCAAAATGAGACAGCAACTGACTTGCTAAAATCACCCAAACAGCCGGTCCCCAGCTCTGAGTGCAATCGGCCTTGTTGTTCTCGAGATACATAAGCGGGGCCCACACATACGCACGTGCAACAGCACCCCGACCGTGACACATAATGATTTATGGTCTGGATATATTCTGGATATAATGATATGGATATATTATAAAACATTGCGAAAAAGTGGTCGCAATGTACCTCAAAATGATTTTCGAACAGTCTCTTGGTATGAAAGACATTCCTCACGATTGGCGTCAAGCCACAGTGCACCCAGCTTTCAAAGGGGGCAGTACCAAACAACCTGTAAATTATCGTCCAATTTCGCTCACATGTATATGTTGTAAAATGATGGAGCGTATTTTAGTTTCCCATATTGTGATGCACCTAGATGATTTTGACCTATTCTCTGATAGTCAGCATGGATTCAGAAGACATCTTTCTTGTGAGTCACAACTGTTACTGCTTTATCAGGATATTATGTCATCCATTGACAAGAAAAAGAGTGTTGATTTGGCATTCATTGACTTCAGTAAGGCGTTTGATAGGGTTCCACATAAACATCTCTTAACTAAACTAAAAATGTATAATTTAGATAATAACGTTCTTGGCTGGATTGAAGCCTTCTTATGTAATAGAACGCAGAGAGTTCTGGTTAACCCGCGCCCTGCTGGGGGGGGGGGTGGGGTGTTTGAACACCCCCCCTTGTGGTTTTTCGCGAATATCTCAAAAACGGCGGCGCTCTGCGCCGCCGTTTTTGGTACACCTTATTGCACATCAATTCTACACATGTTGTGAAAATTTCAGACCAAGGTCATTCAAGGTTAGGTCACCAGGTCACTTGAAGTGACCTCACCTCATAAAAAGTTTCAATGTCTGTCATAGCTACACCGAGTGACCGATCGCTTTGAAACTTTCAGCGATTGCTAAGAGCAATAGCATGTACAAAATGTATATCTCAGAATTTTGATATCGATGACCTAAGGTCAGGTCAATTTTGCGACCTCCCCATTATAAGTCAATGGGAGAAAATTGAAATGCGCCTCTTTTGGACAAAAAACATTATAAACACTCCCAAACACCGAATGACAAGTGGTTTAGACACACTGAACATGAAAATGGTGTCCGTGACCCTTGTTTATGCCCTGAGGTCATCTTAGGTCACGAATGGTATCTAACAGTTTTTCGCAAATAACTTTTGATAGAGGCATGCTAGAGCAATGAAAACGCCTTAGCTGTGTTCAGCTCGACGATACGGATCGACTGATATGCAACATGACCCTTTCCGGTCAGGTCATGACCTTGACCTGAGGTCAAATTTTCAAGTTGACCTTTCAAGGTCAACTTATAGTTCATTCGATGCGTCTTGACGAGAGGAACACAATGCCGGTAAAAATAAGCTCGTACAAGGCTCGGGTCAAAAGTTATTGCAGAAAAACTGTTTCCGAAAAAATCGGCTATTTTTGCAATTTTTGCCCCCTGCAGGCAAAACCGTTGACGTTAGGTCAAATCTGAGAGAATTACTCAGAAAGGGCTTTAATAGGGCTATCGAATGCGCTTTTCTGCGGCGCTGTAGCTCTATTTGTTCTCGAGTTATGCGTTGGCTTCTTGGAAATTTTCGACATTCGACCTGGAAATCGGCGAAATTTTGCCTTCAATGACCTCTGGTGACCTGACCTTTGACCTGACCAAAAAATTGACCGAAGTGATTTCGTGATTATTTTTTACGCTCTTTCGAACGCCGCCTTCCGCGTATCGCTACGTGGCCCAGGAGCCGAGTTAGAAGGAGGGGTGTTCAAACACCCCCCCCAGCAGGGCGTGGAAATCCAGGACCCCCAGCCGGGCGCGGGTTAATAATTGTTATTCTGATGTGATTAGAGTTACGTCCGGTGTCCCACAAGGGAGTGTATTGGGTCCAATATTATTTCTTTTATATATTAACGATCTTCCGGATATGATTAATTGTCAGATAAAATTATATGCAGATGATGTTGTTCTTTACACAGACATCTTAAGCAATGAAGAATGTAGTTTTTCGTTACAGGCAAATATAAATAATTATCTCAATGGTGTTCCAAATGGAAAATGTCTATTAATGTTGGAAAGTGTGCTATCATGAGAATGACAAAGCAAAAACTTGCTGCAATGCCTAGATACTATTTGAATGGAATAGAAGTTCAGGTTGTCAATGAGTTCAAATATTTAGGCGTGCATATTTCGAACAAATGTACCTGGCAAAATCATGTACAACATGTCACTGGTAAAGCGAATCAGATGCTACGATTTATTAAGCGAAATTTCAAGGATTGCCCACAAGCTGTAAAGGAAATCATGTATTTGTCCCTTGTTAGGCCACATCTAGACTATGCCAGCTCTGTTTGGGACCCATGGGGAGAGGGTATGAAGCATGAGCTGGAAATGGTTCAAAGGCGCGCTGCTAGATTTATACTTAATGACTACGACCGACAAAGCAGTGTTACTGACATGCTGGTCACAATAGGATGGGTATCCCTAGAAAGCCGACGTAGAGAGGCGAGATTATGCTTACTGTACAAATTACACCATGGCAACATGAAAGTAGATGTTAGTAGAATTATATGTGAACCTAGCTATATATCACGGAGTGATCACCCTAAAAAGATAGAGACTTCCGTCGAGATTACTTCAGTACCATAACTCGTTTTTCCCAAAAACCATAAGAGAGTGGAACCAACTTTTGCCCAGCATGATGGAAGCCGAATCTGTGGAAGATTTTCGGAAAAACTTTCAAACACATGTAAATTCGGCGTAAACGTGATTGTAATTGAAATTGCTCATGAGTAATGCAGAATGAATCAATCTAAAACCAGTAAAACGCCTTTTGGGCGAAAAACGAGCGAGCGAGATAGTGAGCCCTGCACGTGCGGAAGGGCGAGAGGGTGCTTCCAACGGGCTTGCGCAAAGCACCCTTCTAACTGGTCGCTAGCGGTGTGCCAAATTTGAACGCAATCGGCCCAGCCGTTCCTGAGATCTGGAAGCGGCATTCTGCACGTGCGCACGTGCAAACGGGGTCCAAAATGACTTTTGCACGGCACCCTACAAACTGGTCCCCAACCGTGTACCAAATTTGAGCGCAATCGGCCCAGCCGTTCTCGAGATCTGGAAACGCCCCTTGCACGTGCGCACGTGCAGTAGCACCCTAACCGCAACACATGGGAATGCATTGCCTGGTGGGTGCCTACCTGTATGCCAAGTTTCAGCGAAATCGCCCCAGTAATTACCGAGTTACTGAAATGGGAACAAATTTGGCACCTCTTATTGTTGTATTTTGCACGTGCACTGGGGGTGACCCACATGCATCGAGAGTATCCTATTTTGGGTAGAAGGGATGCTGCTACCCTATAAAAATTACCGCAAGTCAATCGCTCAAGCGGCTGTTGAGATATGAGCCTCTCAAAATCACTACTTTTGCAAAACAGCTTGAACACCCTTGACTTTTCACGTGGCACGTGCCACGACGGTCACTGAGATGTATCAAAAGTAGTCAATTACGGGGTAGAAGGGATGGGGCTACCCAACAAAAAAGACCGCAGGCCAATCGGTCCAGCGGTTGCTGAGATATAAGCCTCTCAAAAGCGTTACAGGCCGGGCCGGGCCGCTCATACTGATATTTTTCCGTTATATTGAAAAGACTCACTTCGCTCGCTGCGCTCGCTCGCTCGTAATCAGTAGTAATGGGAGTAGGTATGTCCTTGTGTGTATGTACTTGTTTGTATGTGCGATACTGATGTGTGCATGATGTGTGAACCAGATTTAACATCACCAGGGCCAACTGGCATTCGTGATTGTTGTAATACATGATACACATGGTCACATGGAACCCATATAGGTAAGTAAAATAGAATAGTTATACAAGCCATGAGTTTCATAACCAGTAAAACGCCTTTTGGGCGAAGAACGAGCGAGCGAGATAGTGAGCCCTGCACGTGCAGAAGGGCGAGAGGGTACTTCCAACGGGCTTGTGCAAAGCACCCTTCTAACCGGTCGCTAGCGGTGTACCAAATTTGAACGCAATCGGCCCAGCCGTTCCTGAGATCTGGAAGCGGCATTCTGCACGTGCGCACGTGCAAACGGGGTCCAAAATGACTTTTGCACGGCACCCTACTAACCGGTCCCCAACCATGTACCAAATTTGAGCGCAATCGGCCCAGCCGTTCTCGAGATCTGGAAACGCCCCCTGCTCGTGCGCACGTGCAGTAGCACCCTAACCGCAACACATGGGAATGCATTGCCTGGTGGGTGCCTACCTGTATGCCAAGTTTCAGCGAAATCGCCCCAGTAATTACCGAGTTACTGAAATGGGAACAAATTTTGCACCTCTTATTGTTGTATTTTGCACGTGCAGTGGGGGTCACTCACATCGATGAAGAGTATCCGACCTTTGGTAGAAGGGATGCAGCTACCCTATAAAAATGACCGCAAAACAATCGCTCAAGCCGCTGCTGAGATATGGGCCACTCAAAATCATTACTTTTGCAAAACTGCTTGAACACCCTTGATTTTTCACGTGGCACGTGCCACGGCGGTCACTGAGATGTATCAAAAGTAGTCAGTTACGGGGTAGAAGGGATGGGGCTACCCAGCAAAAAAGACCGCAGGCCATTCGGTCCAGCGGTTGCTGAGATATAAGCCTCTCAAAAGCGTTACAGGCCGGGCCGGGCCGGGCCGCTCATACTGAGATTTTTCCGTTATATTGAAAAGACTTCGCTTCGCTCGCTGCGCTCGCTCGCTCGTAATAATCGTTCCAATCCTTGCAAAGATTTGTAACATGTGAGAGAAGCCATTTAAACGCTCCTGATTTGGCATTTGAGAGAGAGCCACGCGCCGGGACGGTTACCCGGATACATCAAAACAGTCATTCAGTTTTTAATATGATTGGGCTATCTGACTGCTCCGGACCACTGATGAATCGGCCAAGCGGTTGCCAAAATATATGGCTGGAAAAGGGTAAACGAAATACAGTTTTAATTTGAATGTGACCTTTTTTATTTGAATGTGACCTTTTTTAAATCGAATGTGAGCTTTTTTAATTTGAATGTGGTCTTTTTTAATTTGTATGTGACCTTTTTTAATTTGAGTGTGATCTTTTTTAATTTGATTGTGACGTTTTTTAATTTGAATGTGACCTTTTTTTAATTTGAGTGTGACTTATTTTAAGTTGAGTGTAAAAAGGTGTAGAAACACAGCCTCCTGGAGACTGGCAATGACAAACACCTAGCTTCCTGAACTAGATCCCACACGTCTCCCACTGCACGTATCGCTAAAATACAAACCAAACATCAGCGAGCTTTCCGTCTAAATGACTCGGCGCGCGTAACTGACCGCTCCTTGAAGGCCTCGGCGCGGTCGACGGCCTTCTCGAGTGCCTCTGTCAGCTGGAAGTTGGAGTCCTTGAGCGAGTGGATCTGGGTGAGCAGGCCGGACATCTCCTCCTTGAGCCGGGAGAGCTCGTTGAGCGTCTGCTCTTCGCGTCGCTCCAGCTGTCGCAGCTGGGTCTGCGCCTCCGACAGCTGCTGATCGTGCTGAGACAGCTGCCGGCGCACCAACAACGCCCGGGGTAAAACACGGGACACGGAACGGATTGGACTTCAAAACGCAACTAATCACTAACCAGACTGAGTGCTGAAGTCTTCTAGCTGCTGCCAGCCCTCCCGGCACTCGATCCCTCACCTGGTCGGTCAGGCCGCGCGAGAGTTCGCGGTACTCCTCGAGGTCCTTGCGCAGGATGTCGCGCTCCGTCTCGACCTCCGTCTCCTGCGCCTGAAGGCGCCGCTCCAGGTCCTGCGCGCGCCGCTCCTGGAACATTTTCAGCGACTTCTCCTCGTTGGCGGACGCCTTGGCGGCGCGCACCTCGGCCTGCAGTCGCACTATCTCCTCCGAGAGACTGGCCCTGGACAGACAGAGCACAGCGGGTCAGTGTGTGTGTGTGTGTGTGGGGGGAGGCACAGTCGCACTATCTCCTCCGACAGACTGGCCCTGGACAGACATAGGACGGCGGGTCAGTGGGGGAGGTGGGTGGGAGGGTGGGGGTGGGGGGGGGGCACAGACTGACCAGCTCCTCCGACAGACTGGCCCTGGACAGAGGACAGCGGGGTCAACAGGGGAGGGAGGAACACAGGTCAGCTCCTCCGACAAACTGGCCCCTCCGACTCCGACGACGGCGGATCAGCGGTCAGTGGTGGGGTGGGGGTGGGGGGGGGGGAGACGCACTATCGGCCCTGGACAGAGGACGGCAGATCAGCTGCGGACGCGCACCTCCGCTTACAGCCAGCCTGAGGCCCTGGGTGGCGGGCGGGGCAGAGTTCAGGGCTCCCCACAAACTAGGGATGCGGCTCCAGGTGTTAATTAGTGCGAGGAGGCTTCAATCTAAATCAAGTGCTGGTACTTTGCAACCTCCATCATACTGATTACTCCGTGAATTGGTAGGTAATGCCGTCTCCTCACTCAAACACCAGCCGCATGCCCCGTGCACATTCAATCGTAGCCACGTACTCAAGTACCCCTGCAGCAAAATGTTGCGTTTAACTTGCGCCGGCTAAATTGTGGATGTCCTAGCGGGCCGTTACGCGCCAGTGTTCTGACAGAGTACTGACTTGTTTTGTTCGTGTTTCTGCGAGTCCGTCTCCTGTTTGTTGAGCAGCTCCTCCATGTCGGTCAGCTGGTTATCCAGCGTGGAGCAGAGCTCCTTCAGAGACGCGATAGTCTGAGGGAGGAATCAGCGACAGTCAGGTCAGACACGATAGTCTGAGGGACGGAAGCAGCAGCTGAGGTCAGATCAGAGGCAGTTTCAATAGTCCGAGGAAGGCAGAGCAGTGAGGTCCGACACTTTAGACTGAGAAAGAGACGACAGTCAGATCAGTGACACCGTAGTCTGAGGGACGGAGATAATCAAGTCAGATGATGATGATGAATAGGGGTTTTTGGGCGCCCAGTCTACAGTCAGGTCATCGGCGCCTATATAATCAAGTCAGACAAGATTATATAGGCGCCGATGACCGTCAGACAAGAATGGTTGAGAGAAGGAGATAGTCCTGGTCAGACACTGATAGTCTGAGCCTGAGGGAAGCAGGCGGAAGTCAGGTCAGACAAGATATTCTTGGGGAATCAGCCCCGACTGTTACGGTGCCAGTCAGGGCGAGGGACAGCCACAATAATAAATTGATTACCAAGGCCATGACAACGAACACTACGGACATTCGATCCTGGTATGACAAAAACGAAACAGCCATGGGACCTTTCTTGATAATAAGACTGGCCACTTATAACGCTTGTTTATAGACTGATTATAGATCGGTTACTATCACAGTAACACTGCTTTTCCTAGCAGCACATCTGTTGCCATGCAATGTTCCGCCTGGCCGTCATCGGACCAGACACAGCTACGGGCCGCGGTGTTCCCGTCGGCCGCCCGGCCCTCTCTCAGCTCACCGCCTCGTGCGCCGCCGTCTGTTTGCGGGCCTCGGCCAGCTCGCCGCGCAGCTCGTCGGCCTGCGACTCCAGGCGCGCCGAGCGCTCCTGCTCGCGGCGCACGGCGGCCCGCTCCTGCTCCAGCCGCTCCTGGAGCTGCTGGGCGCTGCGCTCGGCCTGCTGGCGCTCGGCGGCCACGGCGGCGCCGTCCGCCAGCTCGCGCTCCAGGGAGCGAACCTGCTCCACCCAGCGCGAGATCTCCGTCTGCCCAGGCAGGGAGGGGGAGGGACTGAGTGGTGGGGTCCTCTGCACCGTGGAACATATTTTGAAATATGTTTCATAACATATTTGAAACATTTAATTCATCAAATACATCAAAATTAGCTGCTTTTTAGCATACATCTAACGAATCGAACAAGGGATCAAAATAGAAACTGATGACGCAGCTGTTAAATTCACCACTATACAAATCACAACCCATCCCATATCCGGCCAGCCATCCCTGCCCCGAGCGGCAACCCCGCCACCCCAGACCATCCTTTGCCGGCAGTCACCACCAGAGGTGGCAAAAGGTGAAAATTTTGGGAACCAGACTCGAACCAGACCCGAATGGATATTTCTGGAACCAGTCGGACCCGGTCCAAGTTAAAATCGGAACCAGTTGGACCCGTACCCCAAAAGTCAATTAATAATTACAAAGTATTTGTAGGTAGCATTAGTTGCATCATGTAAAATAGCCTTTTTCGCACTGGAAATATTCATGAGGTACAGTGTGCAAAGAAACATAGGTACATGAGCAAATGTTTTCTTTACATTCACTTCATATTTTGCAATCATTTGTAGTGTGCATGATGTATGGTTTATGGTAGGACCCGGTTGGACCTGTCAGAAAATTTCCAGGAACCGGTCTGGACCCATATGGGTCCAGATTGGTTCTTTGGACCGGGTCCTCGGGTCCACATTTTGCCACCTCTAGTCACCACCGCTCCACAGCTAGTCTCTCACCTCATGGGCGGCCTTAAGCTCGTCGGACTCGCCCCCGGCCCTCTCCAGCTCGCGGCGCGCTCTCTCCAGCTCGGCCTGCCGCTCTGCCAGCTGCACCTCCAGCTGTGCGGCGCGCTGCGTCAGCTCCGCCCGCTCCGCCGCCCAGCCCGACTCCGACTCGCGCAGCGCCGTCAGCGCCGTCTCGGCCGTGCGCGCCTCGCGGTTGGCGATACGGACGTCGATCTTCCAGTCGTTGAGCTGCTTGTCTTTCTGTGGGGTGGAGCGGGTTAGGGAGGGTCGTTAGGAGGGCGATGGTTGTTGCTGCCTCGTCTGCCGGCCGCGGCTCCTCAGTGAACATCAGTCAGATCCGCGCCGGCCGGGGAGCGTCCCACCGACCGACCGACCGACCGGAGCAGCCCAGCGGCCGGCCGGCGACAGTCTCCACCCGGACCGGACTCAGATTTGCGCAGTGTTTGTCATCAGTGGCTATGAAGAAGGGAACCATAACAAGAGTAATTGTCATGAGAACACAAGCTCACACAGGGCCAGTGACCAAACCAGTCTAATCTGGTCCTGTGCGGGAGTTGGGTCGACGTACGGGGACCCGCAGTTACTACTGTACACGAACCCCAACTTTAGCCGTCTGTCCTGTCCAGTAACAACCGATAACATTGATATCGACTGCCGGTACCTGTACAAGAGTAGCTGAGGTTTTCTGTGCGTGCCCTCTGACAGCTTACCGTTGTTCCCTGTGAGGGTGCTGGGACAATTTACTCAGGGTCGCTGTACAGTAGAAACTGCGGGTCCCCGTACCAGCTTAATCTGGTCCTGTGCAAGGGCCGGGGGGGGGGACGACGTACCAGTCTGATCTGGTCCTGAAGTTCCGCCACCTTGTGTCGGTCCACGGCGGCCCGCTCGCGAACCGTCTCCAACTGACTCTCGGCACGCTCCAGCTGAGTCTGCAGCACCGCCTGCTGCTGCCGCAGCCGGGCCAGCTCCTCGCTGGGGAACGGGAGGGAGTTACAGAGACAACGGAAGGGAGTTACAGAGACATCAGCCGCCACTCCAGCTCCTCGCTGCGGAACGGGAGGGAGTTACAGAGACAGCCGCCAGCTTCCAACTGGGGAACGGGAGGGAGTTACAGAGACTTCAGCCGCGCCTGCTCCTCACTGGGAAACGGGAGGGAGTTACAGAGACATGGGAGTTACAGAGACAGCCGCCAGCTCCTCCCTGGGGAACGGGAGGGAGTAACATAGACATCAGCCTCCTCACTGGGTAACGGGAGGGAGTTACAGAGACATCAGCTCCCCACTGGGGAACGGGAGGGAGTTACAGAGACATCAGCTCCTTGCTGGGTAACGGGAGGGAGTTACAGAGACATCAGCTCCCCACTGGGGAACGGGAGGGGGTTACAGAGACATCAGCTCCCCACTGGGGAACGGGAGGGGGTTACAGAGACATCAGCCAGCTCCTCACTGGGTAACGGGAGGGAGTTACAGAGACATCAGCTCCCCACTGGGGAACGGGAGGGGGTTACAGAGACATCAGCTCCCCACTGGGGAACGGGAGGGGGTTACAGAGACATCAGCCAGCTCCTCACTGGGGGACGGGAGGGAGTTACAGAGACATCAGCCCAGCTCCGCTAAATCAGCCTCCTCGCTGGGGAACGGACTTACGGGAGGGTGTCACGGGGTCGGACGGTCGACAGCAGGCCATCAGTTCCTCGCCAAACGAATGGAACAGAGAATGACACAGCCATAAGGGTCATCCGCGGCAATGGGTTCGATCAGGGGGCAATTATGGACAGGGTAGCCCGAACGTCGACTTTCACAAACGCAGTCCCCGCGTGGGAAAGCACATCCAGGTTGACACACGTAATGGACGCAAATCAAACTCAGCTACACGTCTTCGGCTCATCACAAGGACCTATCGCGCTTCTAACCGAAGTACAGCTACCGCCACTTCCTCGCTGTCCTCAATTAAACTTTCCGGTAGGATACCGTAACACAGCCCGCCACCGCCACCCTGCCAACCACTGCTGACCGGCAACCGCTTTCCCCGCCCGCCCGTCGCGCGCACCTGTCGAGCTGCTCCTCGGCGGCGGCCGCCGCGCTGGTGCTAGTCAGCTGGTGCTGCAGGCTCTCGTTGCGGTGCTCCAGCTTGGTGAGCGACTGCTCCAGGCCCAGTAGGGTGGTCTCCAGCTCGCAGATGCGCTGCTGGTGATCAACTGCCGGCGCAGATGACATACCGTGAGATATACCGGCAGCGCAACAGTAGGGAGTAAAACAAGACTCGACAAATCGATATTAGGGGGAACGGGTCGGCATCGCGATGATGGCACGTAAAGCGGACCGATAGCGAAACGTTAGTGTGTAAAACGCGCCGACAGCGCGATATGCGTGTACGACGGACCGACCACACGAACTTCAGCCTAAGAGCGAGAGTGTTGAGAACTCGCAGTCACCGTCTGTGGCTCCTCACCCTCCTTGTCCTGCGTAGCCATCAGCTCTTCAAGCAGGCGCTCCCTCTCCTCGTTACCCTCCCGCAGCCGGGTTTGGAGCTCGGCCGTCTCGGCCTGGTGGCTGGCGCGCTCGGAGCTCAGCTCAGACTCGCGGGAGGCCAGCGCCGCCTCCGACTCGCCCTGCAGCCGCCGCGCCGTCTGACCGAGCGGGGAGGGCGTCAGACGGGACGGCACACGGGATTATGCAGCTCGGGTCTCACCGTGCAAGACACTTCACTTAATAACGCACTGACGGCAGTAACCCTGGGCCAGCCCCTAGCGTCTGTTGACCCAACAATTCGCTCCGTTACAAATTGCAGCCTTACCCCGTCCCTCCCCCGTTTTATAACAGCAGTAACAGAACCCCTCCCTCACCCCGGTCCAACCGCCGTCCCCAGCTGCAACTGCTCGGCCTGCTCGGTCTGCAGTACAGTACCTCTCCTCTCCCCGGGTTCCCACCGTCCCCACCTTCAGCTGCTCGGCCTGTTCGGCGAGCTGCCGGCGCAGTTCGGCCAGCTGTCGCTCCAGCTGGGCGGCCGTCTGCGAGCCGCCCTGCTGGCACCTCTCGGCGCGCGCCTCCGCCTCCCGGCAGCCGCGCGCCAGCCGCTCCGTCTCGGCCCGCAGGCGGTCACGGTCGGCGCGCAGCTCGGCCACCGGCGCCGCCTCGTCGCGGGCGCGCTCCAGCTGCGGACAGAGGGCGGGGGAAAGGCGGCGTCAGCGGGCAGGTGAGTGAACGGGGAGAGATCCACTGCTAGAGAAAATATCGTCTTAGTTATGGTAAATTCAAATTATGAATCAAGACAAAGCTGTCTGTGCAGGTGAGCCATGACCAGCAGACACAATGTAGCGGCTGCAGCAGTGTTCGAGCCGCCATAACACCCTCGCTACCACAGTGAACCAGGAGGGCTCTGCTGCAGCCTTTGACGCGTACCTGCCGCTGGAGCCGGCGTCGCTCGTCCTCGGCGTCGCTGAGCTGCTGCTGCAGCCGCTGCTGCGCGGCCCGCTGCTGCTCCAGCTCGCGCTGCTGCTGCTGGGAGGTGGCCGTCAGCTGGTCCAGCCGCTGCTGCAGGCCGGCTGAGTCCTGCCGGCTGCTATCCAGCACCTGGCGGGGGTGGGCGGGGCGGCGGACGGATCAGCGGGGGATATCAGACGGGGCGGCGGACGGATCAGCGGGGGATACCAGACGGGGCGGCGGACGGATCAGCGGGGGATATCACTCAGACGGGGCGGCGGACGGATCAGCGGGGGATATCAGACGGGGCGGCGGACGGATCAGCAGGGGATATCAGACGGGCCGGCGGACGGATCAGCGGGGGATATCAGACGGGCCGGCGGACGGGTCAGCGGGGGCAAATCTGGCACTGACATAGACAGAGCCACTGCAGGCCTTACGGACGGACAACTAATTGGCAACAAACGATTAATGAAATAAACAATGTGCATACTTTTGGAGAAACTTTGCGATATACCTCCCGTGAGAGCAGCGCCCTTCTCCGTTGCCAGTGTCCAGTTCCTTGCTTCCACGGTACCCCTGAAGTCAGTGTCATGAACGTTTTGTAGCGTCTGTACCCTAACCCACCTCCTCGACTTTGTGCCGGCCTCCTCGGCAGCTCAGTCCGTGTCTGACCTGCCTCTGACCTCTGACCTACCTCCTTGACCTTGTGTTTGTTGTGCCGGCTGGCCTCCTCGGCCGCTCGCCGCGCCTCCTCGGCTGCCGTCAGCTGACTCTGACAGCGCTGCAGGTTCTCCAGGGCGAAGTGGTACTTCTCCTCCAGCGACTTACTCTCGGTCTGGTAGCGCTGTGGACAGGGAGATCGCCAGTGTCACACAGCCAACACAGATCAGTCTCGCAGAGGTCTACGATAAATAGACACTGAGCTGACCGCTGCTGGCTTCAGCGCCATGCGGCGACGAGTTTGACTCGGGCGACTAAATAGTATTGAGCATACAGTCCGTGAATTCTTGGGCAAGTGAAACAAAGCATGCATCACATCAAACTGTGCCTGCTGCCGACTTTCACAGACGAGCTAACATGGCAGACGGCCTGGGAGGTGAGTAACTTGCCGTCCTGCGGCGCCGACTGACCTTGACCTCGTCGTGGACCACCTTGAGCCGCTCCTCCTCGTCCCGCTTCCACTTGCGCTTGATGTCCTGCAGCAGCTCCAGCGCCCGCTTCTCCGTCGACATGCGGTCCTTCTTCTCCATCTCCAGCAGACGCACGTAGCCCTGGCGGCCGGACGCCGGTCACGTGGTCAGACTCGGACGCCACCGGCGGCGGGCGGGCGCCGGTCACGTGGTCAGCGGCGGCGTGTGCGGCCGCGGCTCCTCAGTGGACATCAGTCAGATCCGCGCCGACCGGGGAGCGTCCCACCGACCGACCGACCGGAGCAGCCCAGCGGCAACCGAGCGGCCGGCCGGCGACAGTCTCCACCCGGACCGGACTCAGATTTGCGCAGTGTTTGTCATCAATGGCAGTGGAATTGATTAAGGATCACGGTTTTTAAAACAAGTTGATTTAGCGGGTTTTTGAATATCACCCAAATGGAAGCAGGGTTCCGACAGAAGTGAAAAGCAAGTAACGGCCCATTCCCTTAAACCTGCTGCCTCGCCCTGGTCGGTACGGCGGGCGGCCGTCCGCCCCAGACTCACCGCCGACTTGTCCTCGGCCTTGGCCAGCGCCGTCTCGAGTCGCGTGCGCTCCTCTTCCGTCCTCTGCAGTCGCTCGTTCTTCTCATCCAGCTTGGCACTCAGCTGGGGGACAGCCGGAGCACCAGTGAGCGCGAGGAACCATGTACGAGTAGCAACCGGCAGCTAGGCAGCATAGCCAGTTGGGATGACTGAGTCATGTCAGCTAGAAACTTTGAAACATGCCGTCACCGCTCCTGCTTCTAGTCTAAACGATAACGTTTTAGGCTAGCGAAAACCATTTGATGACAAACTGACCTATAAAATATCCTCGTTTATAGCACATTGAGACATAAATCGGTGTTCCAGAGCACATTATGGTGCCACTTCAAGATTCGCAGCGGAAAAATAGCAGCCCACATATCCATATGCAGCGTATCACTATCAGTATTTATCGCCTCGGCGGCCCGCCGTCACCCTATAGTGGCCGCTGCCGCCCGTCCGGCGCTCTTACCCACCTGTTTGACCTGATTGCCGACGTCGCCGCGCTCAAACTGCTCGAGTCGCTCGCGGAGGGTGTGTAGCTGCCGGCGCTGGGCAGACACCTTGCGCTCCAGCTCCGAGGCGGCGGCCGCGTCCGGACCGGCGGCCGGCAGCAGCGAGCTGCTCCGCTGCCTGCAACGGTACCGCGGGGGTCAGGTCAGCGGACAGAAGTGGGAGGGACAGAGCTCGGTAGTGATAGGGGGGGGGAGGGACAGGCGTCCGGACCGGCGGCAGCGAGCTGCTCCGCTGCCTGGAACGGTAGCGCAGGGGTCAGGTCAGCGGACAGAAGTGGGAGGGACAGAGCTCGGCAGTGGTAGTGGGGGTGGGGGGGGGGGGGCAGACGGCCAGTCCGGCGTCAGGCAGCAGCGAGCTGCTCCGCTGCCTGCAATAGTACAGCGGCAAGCGATCAGCAGGGGACGTCAGTGGGCGCTCGTCAGACGGCTGACCGGATAAAAGATGATCCGCGGCTACGGGGAGCAGAGCAATGAGAATCACTCATCACAGGCGAATAACCGCACACAGATCACAATGGAAAAAAGCAGGTTGAGCACTGAACAGAGCTGTCAAAAAAGATATAAAGCCGAATGCGCAAAAAGGTAAGGCCATATTGACGTTTCGCCAGCGTGAGATTCGGCGACACGCGAACCAATGCAAACAGAAACGTACCGCATTTTCCTAACGCCAAGCGACACCAGGTTGAAACCAAATCAACAATGAGGCAGAACACAAATAACCGGGGAGCGTCGGCGGTGGACCAGCGGACGAAGGTCAGCGTTTCAAAGGACAATAACAGACAGCGACACCCAACGGTCCTCCGCGCCGGCCGTAATTTGAATCGGACACCAAAACCAAACTGGTTTGACGGGTGCCAGCGCCACGGCTCCGTCGGAGTCAGTGGCGCATGGTAATTACGATGAACGAACGGATGATCGAAAATGAAGACTTCTGCTTCTCGATAGGTATTCCCTTTCAATGAAATAGCAAAAAAAAAAATCGATCGATCGATTAATCTTATGTCACTTCACTAGAGTGCCAACTATGTGCAATTCGCTCAAAACAGGGCTGATTAATGACAATCACCTCCTATCCATCTCTACATGTTCGCCCGCTTTGTCGCCAGCCTGCGGATCTGTAGTATCTATCGATCCCCCATTGCCGCCTTGTGGCTACCGTTACCCCTGCCGCCCACCCCGCCTCCCCTCCACTCGGTCGCTGCCGTTACCCCTACCGGCCACCCCGCGTCCCCTCCCCTCCGCCACGGACCTGTCCTTGCTGAGGCGCGGCTCGGCCGGCGGCTTGGTGAAGGTGAACCCGATGAAGGGCAGCTCGCGGCCCGAGAACTGCTGCTGCGAGAGCAGCGAGTCCAGACTGGGTGACGGCGGCTCAGGCGTCACCTCGTCAAAGTTGGACGTGTCGTCCACGCCGTTCACAGTCGGGATGAACGGCGGCACCGCTGTGGAGGGGGGGGGGGGGGGGGTCAGCCGAGGTCACCCGCACGGCAGACACCGTAACAAGACACCAGTGGGTGGGCTGTGAGCTGCGTAAGGGACACAACATGTGCTGTCTGGGCCAGCCCGCTATGGAACCACGAACTGGTGTGCGTGACAACTAAAATATCCGACGAAATTCAGTCTCTCGCATCTAACCTCACGCTTATTTGGCCATGAAGTAGTCCGTGTTGCGCTTTAGAACACCCAAATAAAGCCGCCCCTTCCTCCCCCGCCTGCCTGCCGCGGCGTCCCGCCCACTGCCGTACTGTTGGCGATGTTGTTCCAGTCGATGGCGGTGAAGAAGGCGTGCTGCACCACCTCGGCGTGGCCCAGTCGCCGGTTGTTGTCGGCCAGCAGGCCCGAGACCAGGCTCCAGGCGGCCTCCGACACGGCCGGCTCGCTGGGACGCCTCAGGTGCTTCTGTGGCGGCCCGGGGGACGGTCAGTCACACTGGGGCTCAGCGGAGCAGGCAGCACGGGCTGATTACCGGGGGGGTTGGCGGGATCAGACACAAAACGGATATAAGTAGCAAATGTATGGAAAACGGTTACCATATCATTCGTCTTACAATTGGTTGTGAAAAATTTGATATTTCATTAATAATAGAATACCTAACTGAAAACGAGCAAATCAGAATATGCGCTAGAAAAGTGACTATGATATGAAAAAAAATGTGAACCAAACACCACCACAATGCACTTTTCTGCAAAAGCAGCATCCTCTACGTCTTTATTGTCTGCTCAAAGAGCTCACCTTGTGTTCCAGGATGTTGTTGTAGGTTGAGCCGAGTTTTTCATCGCTGAACGGCGTGTTACCGGTCATCATCTCGAACGCCACGACTCCCAGCGACCAGTAGTCGCAGTCGGTCTGGGGGAGACGGACAGCGAGGGTGACCACCGGAGAGTAGTGGGCGAGACAGCCGGACAGGAGGTGCAGGATAGTCGACAGGAGGCACACCGAAAGGCTGCGCTGGACGGCGGGTAGAGAGCTGATGATGTCGCCGGTGACACACGTCATATTATGTGCACGCGGAGAGAGCGAAATGGACAGCCGTTGAGCGGTCCACTGTCTATATGTCGAGTCTAGTACTCTGGATAATTTCTCGATCCCCCATGCATCAGCAAACATTTTATCGTAGGCAAATGATAATTAGTTATTAAAACACCATGGGTCAGCGAAAAGACGGTGATATAACACTCGCGCAACTATCCCAGCTGTTTCCAACAACTCCCCATCGTCATTCCCTGTCTCCAAGATCCTCGTGTCCCCCACGGCCCACCCCCAACTTAGCCCGTGAGCTGCCGCCGCGGCGCCGCGGCGTCCGACCTCACTGTCCCCCGCCCTCCCGCGTCCCCACAGGCCCCAGTAGGCACGGCCGCAGCTGTGACGCTGTACCGACCGTCCGTCCCCACTGACCCCGTAGGCAGCAGCCGCGGCGCCGTGGCGTGCGGCGCCCGTGCCGCTGTTGATGGCCCGCAGCACCTCGGGCGCCAGGTAGTCGGGCGTGCCCACTGGCATCCCGGCCGTCACCTTGCCGTTGGCGCCCAGCCGCGCCGCTGAGCCGAAGTCGGCCAGCTTGGCGTGGCCGCACCGGTCCAGCAGAATGTTCTCTGGCTTCACGTCCCTGGGAGCCGACAAGAGGGGGGGGGGGGGAGTGAGCAGGGTGACCGCGGGAAACGGTATTGGGGGAAACCAGACGGCCAAGTGATACGTGTTAACAAGACGTGGATCAGCATGAGAAAAGGTGTAGGCACGATAATCACAGCTTAGTACTGAAATTGTAGGATGTTACATCATAAATAATTTACGCATAAAGACATAGGTAAGAAAAACAGATAAAAAGCGCCCATCCGTTGTACAGTTGAGCTGCAGCTGGATAAGCCAACGATGAATAAAAGGGCGCTCGGCTGATCTGTGAGTGGCTGCACTTTCTCCCGTACCCGGCTATAGCGTCACCCCCGGCCTGACCTGTGCACGTAGCCCATGTTGTGCAGGTCGTGTAGCGCCAGCGCGATCTCGGCCAGGTAGAAGCGGGACGTCTTCTCGTCCAGAACGCCGTCGAAGCGGTCCAGCAGCATCATCAGATCGCCGCCCGGGTGGAAGTCCATCACCAGGTACAGCTGCTGCGCGTCCTGACAACACGCGCACAGGGCAACCACAGCAGTCAGTCAGAGCGCCGTCCACTGCAGCGTTGGAACAATAGCTGACAGGCACAGACTCTGGCAGTCATACAGAAAAACGCTACGCCGGTAGCGAAAAGAAAGGCAAATGTCGAGTTTTTTTTTCACAGCCACGGCAGCATCTCCACCAAACACTTACAGCCGTTTCCATGAATGTACAACGGTCTCTGTGAAAGGTCTAAGAGACAAGCCCAGTCTCACCTGGAATGCGTAGTGGAGCGCGGTGATCCAGGGGGACGTGGCCTCCGTCATAATGTCCCGCTCCTCCTCGTAAAACATCACCTACAACAAAAGACACGTCAGTCATACGCGTATGATATACCGGGAATCAAACATTCACGCAGCAGCACACAGCACCACGGCTCAAACCAGAAAACTAAGCTTGGAGACCCTCCCCTTCTCCTCGCCACCCTATTTGAGTCAGTTCATCCTCCCCACCATCCGGTATCCTCCCCTTCTGATCTGCACCTCCCCCCGTCCACCGTCCCCCTCCCCCCCCCGGCGCCGCGCCTCACCCCGCTCTGCGCCAGCGTGTCCTGTTTCCTCAGCGTCTTCATGGCGAACACGTCCCCGGTGCGGCGCTCGCGCACCACGTGCACCTGACCAAAGTGGCCGCGTCCGATCGTCTTGTGTACCTCGAAATCGGCCGGCCCGACACGCAGCCGGCGCAGCTCAGAGACCACGCCGCGGACTGGCGGCGAGTCAGACGCACAGTCACGCACAGAGACCGCACGAGCTGGAGCCACATACAGACCACAAACAGACCACACCAGCCAGACACAACAGTCACGTACAGGGACCGTACGAGTTAAAGTCACATACAGACCACAAACAGACCAAGGCGCGGACTGGCGGCCAGTCATACACACACAGTTACACACACGTCATACACAGTCACGCACAGGGACCGCACGAGTCGGAGAGTCACATACAGACCACAAGCAGACCACGCTGCGGACTGGCGGCGAGTCAGACAAACACAGTTACATACACGTCACACACAGTCACGTGCACAGAACGCACGAGTCGGAGATTCACATACAGACCACGCCGCGGACTGGCGGCGAGTCAGACACACAAAACAAGCGAGTCAGACGAGCACAAAATAGACAAGTCAGTAGCGTGGTCAGCGCGTCAGCGTAGCACTAGTCAGCGAGATGGGGGAGAAATATATGAAAAAGTCAAGAGACATGTCAATATTGATTGACCACTACCTGGTAAAGAAGCACCCACCCATTCGTCCCACTCACATTTGGTGACAAAGTTGGCGACCAGCGGGTTCTGTTTGAGCCCGTCCTTGTTGCACTCGTCGTAGAGCGCCAGCAGTGTGTCGAGCAGCGCGTCTCGGCCGGCCAGCTGCTGCAGCGCGCGCAGCGAGGCCGCGCTGCCGGCCGTCTTGGCGGCGGTGCAGCGCGCGGCCGCCACCGGCCGCCGCTGGCTCACCAGCTGCTCCAGCCGAGCGGCGCGCGCCACCAGTGACTCGTCGGCCATCGCTGGGCTGCCGGACGGACACGGCAGTGACGCGGGAGGCTAAAGCTGCAGGACGGGCACGGCAGTGACGCGGGAGCGTGGAGCTGCCGGACGGACACGGCACTGACGCGGGAGGGTATATGAATGAACCAAGGTTTGTTTCAAACATATTGAATTACAGTGTATGTCCAGCCCATATAGGGCCCAGATTTAGCCCAGATAAAAGCCCACATGTAGCCCATGCCCACTTAAGCCCAGATGCCCCACTTTCAGCCCAAATGGGCCCATTTGGGAAGGCTGGCTGGGAGGGGCATGAAATAAATCACTAGTAAAAATAATGAAATTTTGATGGGAAGTCTTTTTTTCATTTCATTTATATCATACCTATATGTTTGCTGACATCTGTACACATATTTTTGCTGTTCTGTCTTAACCACCATTTTTAACCTAAATAAGACAAATAGGTAATAAAAGAAATTTTGTCTATCTATTGGGCTTCAGGGCACACCAACTATAAAAGTCATTTTGAACCCATATTATGTTACCATATTATGTTATGGTAGTAAAATGAGTGTGTCACAAGAAAGAACAGACTGAGATGAGACTTCAGACTAGAAGCGACTAATGCTAGATAAAAAGACAAGATGGGATAAAATAATGCAAGCTAGTCAATAGACATCTGAAAAGACATAAAGGTTAGAGAGAGAAGAATAGATGGATTCAGAACAACAAATCATTTTCTCGAACTGGCTGACACCATAGGTCCCGAACGAATCAAACGATCATGTACATTACTCAATGTTGGAAAATGGCTCAAAAAGCATGATAAAAATCCTTTAGTAATGCTCGCCTATTTGCTGGTGTAGTATTGGCAATTCTGATGTAAGGAAAGAAATATTTGTATCAGTATTGGTATTTGGTATTGCATTGGGTCAGAATTTGAATTCGTTAGGGTTCAACAAAGCCTATAGCTACCTTGACCTGATGATGAGGTAGACGTCCCTTTTGAGTTATTTCATGTGGATTGTAACTCTTCTAAGACGTTTGAGGTCAGAGGCCTAGATTTTTACAAAATTAGAAAAGAAACGAGCAATCATCCCCAAAATTATCAAATCCGTGCCGCGCGCGCACATACAAAAACATCTAAACAGCATACGGCAATTGTGGCGCAGTTTTTGAATTTCTGCGCCATTGCTGCTCAGAGGCGAATCTCATATTTCAAATTAATCTCATTATGACGTCATCAGAGTAATATTGCTCCTGAGTCCTGTTCCTCAGCATCTTACAAGAGTTTTAGGATAAAATATAAATCAGACAGTGAAAATACTTCTTTCTCTAATGCAAAACACGGACGCAGCAACTAAAGAGTGATCGACAATTGACAAATGATCACACAAAGCACACACAAGGGTCAAATCAAGGCCATATATAGGGTCAAATGAAGACTTTGATAGCATTGAAAGGGCTTATCGTATTGATTTATTATCAGTTTTCCTGAGAAGACAAATAACTGCATTTTCCACGCTGACTATAAATAGCATTTTCAGCATCATCCACAAACGAAGTGACAACAGTGCTATGCCATCTATGAGGCATCGTGCGATATATCACTTCGTTATAGGTGGCGGTAGCTGTGGTGCGCCGAATGAATGAGACACCTAGCGGTCATTTGATAAAACTGTCGCCAGATCACTGATCACGTGACCAAATACGCCTGCTACGTGGAGATCGCCGGTCACTGGCGCACGGACGCGGCGGATCTGTTTGTGTTGGCTCCTTTCGAATTGCCCCGTGTGATTGTGGCAAGCCTGATAGGGAAAGTCGTTCATTTTCCATTCTAGATTGAGTGCGACAAATTTTTGTGTCATAGATGTTGTAGAGTGAAAGGAGTTTCGTCTTACCGCCCTTGTACGGCCTGTGTTTTTAATATCTGCACTGAATAGAAGACTGAAATGGGCTGTAAGTATACTCATGTATAAGACACCGGTTAAGCTTTTTATTCATGGTTATAGATAGGTTTCGTGCAGTATTCCTCACTATGCTAACTTGCTCCATCTTGATCTGTAATATTATGTAGCACACTGTTAGGTACTGTTCCTCTGGCCTGTTATTCACCACTGCGGTGCCGGAACACCTTCAATTAAGAGTGGGCACCGCCGACTTTTGGCCCCGTTCTTTCCATGCAACAACTATAGGGCTAATGTTTAAATGCCAAAATCAGGGGGTACAGACTACAGTGCCCCGGTGCCCCCTCGACCCCTCTGCCAACTCCTCTGATTCACCATGTTCTTTATATTTCAGTTAAATTTCTGGATGTAATAAAGCCCTTTTGTGGCATTCTACCAGAAATCGCCAAACCTGAAAGAAAAATCCAGTTCAGGGAAAAGGTGCTATGGACAGCAGTCACTCTCTTCATCTTCTTAGTTTGTTGTCAGGTAAGCTCTGTTCCGAGGCTATGCAATAGGTAGCGCATGTTTACTGCGAACAGTGGCCCTGTTCGCACCCCGTTTATTTATCAGCAGGCTGCGACCATGCTGCTGCTTCTTGGCTCCTCATTGGTCGAATTCAAGTGGTCTATTCGTTAGACCAATGAGAGGCCAAGCCGTGCCAGCAATGACTTCCTTTTATGGGGAAAACCGACAGCATGCTGATATAAAAACAGCGACCGAACAGGGCCAGTGACTCTGTAAGACAGCTGCAAACTGCAAAGTCAGGCATGTGACAATGATCCAGAATCCATTTGCTTGAATAACCTATTGCTCTGATGCCCAGCAGAGCCTCAATGCTGCCTATATCATGTAATAATTTTTCAGACAAATGTGTCTATGATGAGCTAATTTTTTGTTTTGTAATGTGTCTGACCTCATGGACATGTGTAGTAGGTGCCTATTGAGTCATTTGTGCAAATCAGAATGTCAATAGGGCAATCAGGGCGATCCAAGAGACTGATCAACTGTGTGCATGTTCTGGCAGATCCCGCTGTTTGGCATAATGTCGTCCGACTCTGCCGACCCGTTCTACTGGATCCGAGTGATCCTGGCGAGTAACCGCGGCACCCTCATGGAGCTGGGTATCTCGCCCATCGTCACCTCGGGCCTTATCATGCAGCTGCTGGCCGGAGCCAAGATCATCGAGGTCGGCGACTCACCAAAGGACCGCGCCCTCTTCAACGGAGCTCAGAAACGTACGGAGTTTTCCCGGGGGCAGTTTAATGGCTTGGCTGGAAAAGCGAATAATTGTTCAATGTGCTGTGCTGGGCATTTTGTAAAAAGTGTTGAAAAGCATGGCATGTGTCACCGCTGATTAAGTTCCGACGCCGGCCATTGTCGTGACTCGTGTCGCCCCTCCCCCCCCCCTCCCGCTCGTCCCAAACTGAACGCCCCTCGTCCCTTGCCCACTGGACCGGCGCCCCTCCCTAACCCTCCCCACTGACCTCCGTCCCTCCCTGTTCGTCCCCCACTGACCCCTCACCCCCTCCCCGTTGACGGGCGCCCCTCCCCACTCCTACCCCGCTGACGTTTCTTACGCTGACCGGCGCCCCCCTCCCCCCTGCCCGCTGGCTGCAGTGTTCGGTATGATCATCACCGTGGGCCAGGCGATCGTGTACGTGCTGACGGGCATGTACGGCGACCCGTACGACATCGGCGCCGGCGTGTGCCTGCTCATCATCCTGCAGCTGTTTGTGGCCGGCCTGATCGTGCTGCTGCTAGATGAGCTGCTGCAGAAGGGATACGGACTCGGCTCGGGCATCACGCTCTTCATCGCCACCAACATCTGCGAGACCATCGTCTGGAAGTCGCTCAGTCCGGCCACCGTCAACACAGGTACTTACGGGACAGGGGCGCCCGGCGCAGTGCGGTGCACAGTTTGGCGACTGAGGTGTGGTGATGTGGTTAGATGGCTTCTTTCTGTACTTAAGCGACAGTGTAAGCGCTTTGTGAGAGTTGTCTGATCATTATCTTTGTCGTGGCATTTCGTCGATTAAAGTGCCTATGTATGACTGCATTTAATCGCTCATTTGCCAAACATCGAAGGGTTTTTGCTCGTTTTTATATTTTATTCGGCAGCTTGCAGTAGTTGCATTGGGTATTATAATCGTCTCAACACCCTTTTATCTACCTGTGTCTGCTCACGGGTCGGTGAGCGAACCCGTACGGCGTGTCCTGACTGTCGATCGACATCAGGCACCGTCACCTGTCATCTCTCGCGAATGACCGTAGGTGCTGCCATGAGGCCCCGTCTGACCAACCGTCCCCCGCCGTCAGGCCGCGGTACCGAGTTTTCAGCGACTGTCCCAATGTGCCCCCCCCCCCCCCCCCGCCGCGCCGTGAGGCCCCGTCTGACCGCCCACCTGGTCCCGCCGCCAGGCTGCGTTAGATACCGAGTTCTCAGTGTACTCTGAATGTCCTCGTGAGGCCCCGTCTGACCGCCTGCCCGGTCCCGTCGTGAGACCCCGTCTGACCGTCTGCCCGGTCTCGTCGTCAGGCCGCGGTACTGAGTTCGAGGGCGCCCTGATCGCGCTGTTCCATCTGCTAGCCACGCGCCAGGACAAGGTGCGCGCTCTGCGCGAGGCCTTCTACCGGCAGAATCTGCCCAACCTGATGAACCTGCTCTCCACCCTGGTCATCTTCGCCGTGGTCATATACTTCCAGGTGAGTCCGAGGGAGGTGGGGGTCGCTCCGCGTGGGAAGCCAGAGTGCGGCTTGGCACCAGAGTGAGTGGTCTTTGAGGTAGTAATGGACCTACCATCGTTACTATGAACTTGTTTTGAACGGTGTTACCTGCACCGCTGAAAGACCCAATCAACATTAAAGCGCAGTATTATTATATACCTGCTGCCCAAGAACTGCGATAGAGTACCGTGTGTCCATGGATCGGTGTCCTGCCCCGCCAACTGACCTGTCTGTGTGACCGCAGTGTATTGGATCGGTGTCCTGCCCCGCCAACTGACCTGTCTGTGTGACTGCAGTGTATATATGGATCGGTGTCCTGCCCCGCCAACTGACCTGTCTGTGTGGCTGCAGGGCTTCCGTGTGGACCTGCCGATCAAGTCAGCCCGCTACCGTGGCCAGTACAGCAGCTACCCCATCAAGCTGTTCTACACGTCCAACATTCCCATTATCCTGCAGTCGGCGCTCGTCTCCAACCTCTACATCATCTCGCAGGTACGGAGCGTGGTGTACCGCCGGGCGTGGCGTGGCGGGGCGGGGCGGATAGGTGGCGGGAGCTGGTCTGTAGGATGATCCGTGAGATCCGGGGCCCAGTTCGGTCGCTGTTTTTATATCAGCGTGCTGTCGGTTTTCCCCATATAAGGAAGTTATTGCTGGCGCGGCTTGGCCTCTCATTGGTCTAACGAATAGACCACTTGAATTCGACCAATGAGGAGCCAAGAAGCAGCAGCATGGTCGCAGCCTGCTGATAAATGAACGGGGTGCGAACAGAGCTCAGGCCGAAACTCGGCCCCGGAGCCCATCTTGCCTGGTATGAGTATGTAAAAAAAAAAAAAAATCACCTCACTCCAGTACTACTCGGACCTCAGATGATGGGTCACACAGACGACTGCATGGTTTCGCTCTCAACCTTATGATTTAGCCTTGCGCATCTGAGATAGGGAGCGGGCGCTGGCAGGCTGCTGGGCCCAGTCCCCAGTCATATCTTTTGGTTTTGTTACGTTCAGGTATTTGAACTGACAGTCTCCAGCGCAGGAATCGTTCTTCAGACACCATTGTCTTGATTCACCACGTATCTGTCTTTCGCAGATGCTGGCGGTCAAGTTTCACGGTAACTTCTTCGTCAACCTGCTGGGTGTGTGGGGTGACGTGGGTGGCGGCGGCCCGGCGCGTTCGTACCCGATCGGCGGCCTCTGCTACTACCTCTCGCCGCCCGAGTCGCTCGGTCACATCGCCGAGGACCCGCTGCACGCCCTGCTCTACATCGTCTTCATGCTGGGCTCGTGCGCCTTCTTCAGCAAGACGTGGATCGATGTGTCCGGCTCGTCGGCCAAGGACGTGGCCAAGCAGCTGCGCGAGCAGCAGATGGTGATGCGCGGCCACCGCGAGAAGTCGATGATCCACGAGCTGAACCGCTACATCCCCACTGCTGCGGCGTTCGGCGGCCTCTGCATCGGCGCGCTGTCCGTCATCGCCGACTTCATGGGCGCCATCGGCTCCGGCACCGGCATCCTGCTGGCCGTCACCATCATCTACCAGTACTTTGAGATCTTCGTCAAGGAGCAGAGCGAGATGGGCGGCATGAGCACGCTGCTGTTCTGAGCGGCTGGCGCTGTCGGCCGCTCTGGGTGTGCAGGTGGGGCCGGTGGGCGGCTGTCTCCGCCGCCCGGCCGCCGCACTCCCCGCCCGGCGACTATTTATTTGTGTGTGAGCGGCGGAGCCTCTCGAGTCTGTCCTCCTCTGTTGTCTGTATGTGACTGGGTGCAGGGCAGAGGTGCCGCTCCGTCCGATTTCCGCTATTCCGCGTGCGGGGCCGGTTCGGCCCGGTCTCAACTGGGTGAGAGGGTTCAGATTTCTCCGGGACTGAGTGAGCCCTGAGACTGGGCAACGTGAATGCGCGGCCTTGGACGGTCTTGGTGAGACAGTGACGGTGACGGCTATGTGCTGAGGGTTCAGGGCGTACGACGCAGTTGTTAACCGAACGGTTGTTGTATTTAGTTGCGAACGAGATATTATCACTGAGACCATTGTGCGACTTCCTTCAGTATTTCAGCAAGTGAGAGCAGTTGGTGTAAATTGAACACAATCCCAGAAGTGACAATACAAAAACATCGACGACATTAACTGTCACTGTCGTTTATTCTTTGAATAGAACCATGACGACATTCGCCATACCTCCAAAGCGCCTCCGTGAGGGATGATCTGAATAATTCAGCGCGTTACCGCACCGACTGATGCACGTCCACGGGGCTGGCGGAGCCGGACAGCGGGCGGGTGCCCTCGGCCGGCGCTCTAGTAGACGGGGCCTGGCGGCAGCTGACAGCCGCCGTAGTAGCCGTCGCTGTCGGCCCGGCACGGGTCCCACTCGCAGACGGCGAGCCGCCGCAGCTGGGCGCACCGGTCTGAGTCCCACCAGCGGCCGGCCGCGTCCAGCGAGCCGCAGAAGCCGCTCCGGCCGGCGCCGGGCGCCCAGAACTGGATGCCAAACTCGCTGCAGTCCTGCCACTGCCAGTCGAAGCTGACGCTGCCCCGGTGCAGGCCCAGCCACACCTGGGAGGCGTCCGAGCGGCACTGCGGCTCCGAGTAGTTAAACGCCAGCGCTGCGGGAACGGACGAGACGGTCAGACAGAGCAACACGCACGGGTGGGTCGGTCAGTGCATGACAGCTATTGGTATTGGCGAAAAACGGGAGGGGATGATTCCCCCCTCCCCCAGTGGGGCACGGGTGAAGCCAGCCGTCAGACTACTGGGAAGGGAGAGTAGATAAACGGTAAACGTGGACGGACGACGCCGACTGTGGGGGCCACCGACCGGGTGTGGTGGCGCGCTCACCGGCCACGAAGCTGTTCTCCACCATGGACTCGACGGAGACGAGTGCGGCTCCCAGCGCGGCGCACGAGTCGGTGGCGGTGCGCAGGGAGAGCTCCCCCGCCAGCAGCTGGTAGCAGTGGCCAGCGAACGGCACGGCGCCCGGGCTGCACGGCTCTGCACGGCCGGCAGAGGGTGGTCAGGGTCGAACGGCACGGCGCTGCACGGCCGGCAGAGGGCGGTCAGGGTCGAACGGCACGGCTCTGCACGGCCGGCAGAGGGTGGTCAGGGTCGAACGGCACGGCTCTGCACGGCCGGCAGAGGGCGGTCAGGGTCGAACGGCACGGCGCCCGGGCTGCACGGCCGGCAGAGGGCGGTCAGGGGCGCGGTCAGGGTCGAACGGCACGGCGTCCGGGCTGCACGGCTCTGCACGGTCAGCAGGGGGCGGTCAGGGGCGTGGTCAGGGTCGGACGGCCGCCACTGGAACACGGCACACCAGCTCAAGACGCCTCGGTATCGGCGGCAGTTGCATCCGGAGGTTCCACGGTAACTGGCTCCATGGCCGCTGGTCCTAACAGTGCACCACAATACTCGGCCGGTGTCGGGTCAGAACACAGTCTGAATCGGAGCTGGGTCCGGCGGGCACAGGTGAGGAACGAACACCGACACCGCTCGGGGCGGGGAGCTGGGTGCTGGGTACCTACTGAGTAGTGGGTGGTGAGGCGGGCAAGTATAGGTACTCACGCGTGCACTGCTCACAGATGGCCGGCAGCTGCTGCTCAGCCGGTCTTGTGACGACCTTTCCGGCGGCGGTCAGCTGCGGCACAGATACCACAGGTCGCACATGAGGTCACTGCCTGTTGTCCTCTGGTAAACCCGCGCACCGTAAGGCTATCGGCGGGATTCCCGGATGAAAAGTCAAACGGCGGACCCTACCACCCGTGGGGGGGGGGGGGGGGCGTTTCGGCCCCCCTAAGATTTCCGAAATTTACCGGCCGGTTTTCAAAATTCAAACAGCGTTCGATAGCCCCACCAGGGAACTACTTTGTCATTTGTGACCAAATTTAATTGACCTTGGTCAAACCGATGACGTCACAGGTCAGGTCAAAGGTCGGATTTTCACCGTTCACAGGCATTTCAAGAAATGTGTTGTGAAATCGAGTAAATTGGTAAGTTATTGAGAACCATCGATGGTATACATTGTTCGTCAAACATATACTTTGCTATCTGATGTCACTGATACCAGGTCAGGTCACAGAGGTCAGGTCACTGGGGGTCACAATATGAAAGTGTCGTGTGATACATGTTTTATGGTCCATTTTACATGACAAATGCGATTATGTGGGTCAGGCAGCCTTTGAGGCCAGCTTAGGTGACGTTTTGGAGGAGGTCAGGTTTGATGGCCCGACCTTGAGGTCAGGTCAATCAAGGTCGGGTCAAATTACGTCAAATTTCAAAGTTGATATTTTTGCATAAAATGGGTATCGATTCGATGCAGCTCGTCACGGGGAGTCTAATGGTGGTCTTTGTTTTGCCCTACGTGGTCTAGAATAGCCAAAAATTGAGTTTGAAAATTTGACGTCATCATTTTCAAACAGTTTTTTTTCGCTATAACTTGGCCAAAAAACGAGATATCGATCTCAAATTTGGTATGTAGATAGGAGACAGTAGTTACTATCACATATATTCCGTTTTTTTTCGAAACTCAATTTTTATTTTTATTTTTTTGGCTAATATATCAAAATAATGCTTTTTTGATTTTTGGGAATCATAACTCAAAAATTTCAAATATCCGAGATAGCAGTTTTGTAGCCCCGTCAATTCTACACCTTTTATGTCTTGATCATTTTTTATATCTTCAAAGCTGTAGGCCTGACAGCTCTTCTCGCGAAGGTCTTTTTCGGTCGAAAATTTGCAGAACATGACGTCATTCTGACGTCATTTGTGGCCAACCTATCAAGCCTCTGGAAATTTTTGGTCACAATGTGTAAATTGATGCCCGGAGGGGTCTTGAAAGTTTGGTGGCGATATCTGCAGCTGTTTGGGAGGTATCGACGGAGAAGGACGGGGGGGGGGGGGGCGTTTCGGCCACCCCTACGGGGCGCGGGTTTTAAGGGCAGGCACATACTACAGGAAAATTTTCCATATACACGGCCCTGTGCCGATAATATGATATCAAACGGTCTGACTTCGTGCACCACACAATACCCGTTTTCACGACAGCCATCTGGTACCTACACATTTGGTGCAGATTAGGTGCAGATTTGGTCAAATTAGGTTCGGTGTGTTTCTGAAAAGTTATCAGTCTGGGCTATACACACACTTGTATACCTCATTTGTTCAATTATCAGGCATCATTTTCGATTAAGGGGAAGAAACAAATTCATGATGCGAGGATATTTATTGTAAAAGAGATTTGGTGCAGATCTGGTCAAATTAGGCGCATTCGCCAGATAGCCCGTCGTGAAAACGGCTAGGATAACGTAAACTGTACCGTCTATTCACTACACGATATCAAACTGCACCGTCTATTTACCACACGGTGTAAAACTGTACAAAGTACCGTCTATTTATCACACAATATTAATATGCACCGTCTATTTACTACCGGTGTAAAACTGTACCTTCTATTTATTATTTGTTTTGGATAATCTTATCCATGAATTAAAATGATCTATCATGAAAATGAAACTTTGTTATTTATGTACCTAGTTTCATTTTTGTTTGAAATGAAATTTCGGCCACGGGTCAATACCTACCACCGTCTATTTACTACCGGGTCATCCATGTCAATACCTACATATATTTAGATATTTAATATATTAAATGACGATTCAAAAAGTGTTATATACCGTCTGTTTACCACGCTGCATCAAATTGTACTGTTAACTCTTACTCGCCACACCATATCACACTGTAAGTACAGCGTAACGTCTATTTACCACACGATACCAAACTGTACCGTAGTTATTAACCACACGATATTAGACTGTATGTAGTTATACCGTCTATTCACCACACGATACCAAACTGTACCGTAGTTATTAACCACACGATGTCAGACTGTATGTACCTAGTTATATCGAATATTCACCAAACGATACCAAACTGTACCGTTTATTAACCACACGATATCAGACTGCATGTAGTTATACCGTCTATTCACCACACGACACCAAACTGTACCGTAGTTATTAACCACACAATATCAGACTGTACGTAGGGGAGACCCGGGAGGTATGGGCCCCCTGGAGGTATGGGCCATCGCAGTTTTGAAGAAGTGTTGCGCATTTTTACACATTTGACGGCGTTAACTGGTAGCAGCCATTCAGTGATTACATCCCACGTGATTTTCAAAACCTTCCTCAGTTTTCTATGGTAATGAGCGGCGATAAAGCTTTTTTTGCCCTCTTCGAGTAAAATACGGTACATACAGGAAATTCGTGATAAATTTGAACCAGGCTCGTTTTATGATGTCAGACCTTCGCTAACATAAAGTTTAAAGCATGCAAATTAAGACTGGATAGACAGTATGAAGCTTTCTTGCAAGATAATGAGCTGAGATGCTACGCACATTATGGCTTCCTTACCGGGAGGTTTGGGCCACCCACCCCCGGTGATCCTAAATAAATAAAAAGATGCTTTCATTCAATGTCCCCGTCAATAATTTTATTTTTGTCGCGCAAGGTCGAAAATTTAACTTCATATTTCATTCGAACAGAAAAATATTATTCATCTTATTTCATGGTGCATGATTGAGTTTACCAAAATACATATGGGCCCAAGTGACCTCCATGAAGCAAGCTGTTGGCCGCTTATGCGTTTCCTGGGCTCTAAGAGAGATCGAGGTAGATACCAGCTACGAGTATTATTCTCATTGTCGAGAAAAGAATGTGAAACATGGCACCGGCCCATACCTCCCGGGCCATGGCCCATACCTCCCGGTGTATTTTGATGGATCGAAAAAGCACATGATTTATTGAAAGTTATCTAGAGACAAAATAGTTGATCCCAGATGCCTAATATCAGGCACACGTTGCAGGCGAAGGGCAATTTCACGCATACAGAGTGAAAAACCGGGTCTAGCCACTGCCCACTGGAAGAAAATTGCCTTTTCACAAAACCGGCCCATACCTCCCGGGTCTCCCCTACATACCTAGCTATACTGTCTATTCAACACACGGTGTAAAAGGATCCCGTCCATTATTTGATTTTTTAAAAATAAACTCCTACAAAATAAAGCTTTTTAATTCATGTGGCTATATTTCTTGTTTAAAATCAACTATCGGCCACGGGCCTTTATCATATAAATGCCAAAACATAGGTACTTATAAGAATATATTCCATTATATTTCATCATGACCTCTGCATTACCACACTATATCAAAGTGTATGTAGCGTCTAACGTATTCACCACACGATTTAAACTGTGTCGTCTATTCTCCTAGTGTGCCGCTTGGCGTCTACCTACTTACCGCACTGTATCCTGGCAGCATCAGGTGGGGATTGTCCTCTTCAATGAGCTTCTGTTTGTAGATTTGGTACTGGATCTCTGACGCCTCTGGGTCCAGTACCCACACCTCGGTCACCGTGGTGAGCTGCAGCGCTGTGCCACCAGCAGAGCCCGCGGTCACCAGACAGACCCAGTCACCCACAGGTCCTGTCCCGGTCACCATAGACCCACAGGTCCTGTTCCAGTCCCACAGACCCACAGGTCCTGTCCCGGACACCACAGACCCACAGGTCCTGTCCATCACAGCCCGGACACCACAGACCCACAGGTCCTGTCCCGGTCACAACAGACCCACAGGTCCTGTCCACAGCCCGGACACCACAGACCCACAGGACCTGTCCACAGTCCGGTCACCACAGACCCACAGGTCCTGTCCCGGTCACCACAGACCCACAGGTCCTGTCCATCACAGCCCGGTCACAACAGACCCACAGGTCCTGTCCCGGTCACAACAGACCCACAGGTCCTGTCCCGGTCACAACAGACCCACAGGTCCTGTCCCGGTCACCACAGATCCACAGGTCCTGTCCCGGTCACAACAGACCCACAGGTCCTGTCGATCACAGCCCGGACACCACAGACCCACAGGTCCTGTCGATCACAGCCCGGACACCACAGACCCACAGGTCCTGTCGATCACAGCCCGGACACCACAGACCCACAGGTCCTGTCCCGGACATCACAGACCCACAGGTCCTGTCCATCTTAGCCCGGTCACCACAGACCCACAGGTCCTGTCCCGGTCACCAGTACCACAGACCCACAGGCCCTGTCTCGGTCACCACAGACCCACAGGTCCTGTCCAGTCCACTACCCGGCACAGTCCAGTCACAAAGGAGTACGAATTCACAAGCGCACAGCGGCCCGTCCAGCATGAAAGCTCGGTCACAACCGGCCCGCACGGACGTGCACATATCTCCCGCACGGCCTGCCCGCCGTCAGCCATGTCTCGCTCACCGAGCGGGGCTTCAGCCGCGCATGGCCGTGATTATCTGCTCACCGTACAGGGGTTCGGCCGTGCTTATCTGCTCACCGTACAGGGACTCAGCCGTGCTTTTCTGCTCACCGTACAGGGGTTCGGCCGTGCTTATCTGCTCACCGTACAGGGGTTCGGCCGTGCTTATCTGCTCACCGTACAGGGGTTCGGCTGCGCTTATCTGCTCACCGAACAGGGGCGCAGTCGTGCTTTCGGTGCTCACCGTCCATGCATACAGGGGTTTGGCCCCTGTTTTAGGCGCTCACCGAGGATCGGCTTGGTGTAGGCGCCGCGGACGGTGGCCATGCGGCCTCCCAGCTGCTGGCAGTGCACGTCGGCCATCAGTCGGGTGGCTGGTTCTGTGGGCGCGCTGATACAGCGTGTGCCACGGGGAGCCCAGCCCGGCGGACACTCGGTCAGGGGCTCGGCCAGCTCGGCGGCACCTGTCAACACAGGGCGCGGCGCTGGTGGGGGCTCGGCGCACTGCAGACAGTGTAACTGAAACTCGACTTACTAAGTACGAGTGGTAGGGTCCCGGGATCCCGGGATCTTAACCCTGTGTCCGGGCTCTTTTCTAGGCTTAACCCAATCCTAGTGCCGGGTCAAGATACCGTCATTAGTAGGAAGGTGACTTGGTTAGGTAAATTAATGTGCACCGATCACAAGCTCGGCTGAAGAGGGGAGAGCTGATGTTATTGAGAGACACCCTCAAACATTAAACATTTTCGGCATACTAGCAAATAATCCGAGCGTCCTTTCTTAGCTTC